TAATGTTGTTTCACTAGGAACCTTTCAATTACCTGACCCCTGCCATTAGTTGCTATGTGTCTGAGACAAAATAAAGGTTCTCAGGACTTTTTTTTAAAGATGAAAAGTTGAGAATTTGTTTCTGACCACAATCATAAAGTATGATACGATACCACATCAAAACTAGAAAGGATCTTCAGCAAGAATCTTCTCCACATTATATTAGATGAGATGAGATAACCAATTTCTGTTTAAAGGCTTCCAATTTAAACTAACATCTTACTCCAACATATTGTAGTTTATTGTGTTTCCTGAATCTTCTAATTATCAGAAAGGGATTTTTCCTCCAGAAGATAAAAAATAAAAAATAATATATAAATGTCACCCCACCCTCACATACTTCTGGAAATAAAATTTTTTATTGTTTTCATTAGGGGATAAGAAAGGAGATTCTATAGTATTTTTATTGTTTTCATTAGGGGATAAGAAAGGAGATTCTATAGTATACAAGTAAAATTCAAAACATGCATCTTGAAGTATATATTTAAGTTCTCATAACAAAATACATGTTAGACACTCTAGCTTGTAAATATATAAAACATCAAGAAAACATACCTGGGATGATATCATTGATGTGCAGAAGAATCGTACTTTCCACACTTGCAAAACTACAAAGCTGTACTCCGTCAAATTTTCCATCCCAGTTGCCAATAGGGTTATCCTAGAAATTACACAAATAATATAAAATATGAAAGTCTATTTTCCATAAAAGAATCCTCCAAAATATCTTACTTTGGTAACTTTAACTATTGGCTTCAAAAAAAATACATATATATTAGAAATAATTGCCTTAGTACTAAGGCTTTTTTGTTTGGGAAAATAAGAACCAATAACAACTAAGTTATAGTAAACACAGAAATGAACAAATAATTGAAAGTGTTTTTTCATACTTTGTTGGACAATAAATACAAGTCTGTGGAATAACACCCATCTGAGGTTTTAAAAGATAGTGTTTTCATAGAAAAAAATAATTAATAAAACATTATTTCACCAGAAACCTATCCCTATAATTCCCTGAGCACCTAATCAATTTGAACTACTGTATGCTTTTCTGTACGCAGAAAGTCTATTTTTAATTGTTCTTCTATCATATATGGGTCTGCAAAATTTTCTCCAAAATGAATATTTTTCTATTTAATATTATTCATCAAAATAGCACCAACTACTAGAGCACTATTCATGAAGCTACACTGATAGATGGATTGGCCAGACAATTGCCCTGAGCACCAATGTGTACAGTGTGCTAAAATGACCCTGGAAATAGAAATATTAAAGAAAGTTCCTCTCAAGGAACCAACACCTGAACAAGCTAATTGGGGGATGAACAGAAGCAACAGGAAGAGCTGGCAGGACATACCTCTAGGCAGCCTGCCCTGGGTAAGCCAGATGATCTGCAGATACCACCTAAGGAGGGCAAGGCCTAAATGACTTTTGCCAAGTTTGGGGCCTAGGCCAAACAACCTGAAGCCTAACACCAGTGACAAGTGGTCTCTTCCTCCACCTTCCCTCCACTCAGTCTACCATTTCTCCTCTAAATATTGAATTAAAATTTAAGGACTGTGGTTGAAAGAAGTTCTTTATAGTTAGCTATCTTGAGAAACCCACATGTTTTACATCGGTTCTAACTTCACATAGTTAAGAGTTCAGCAAATGTTAATTTAGTACTAACTAATGAGTATCAAAGAGCATTTCCTAGAATTTCCAAGCACAAGATAAATAGACACTCATGCTAGAACATTCACATTCTACCATCCTATTCAGATTATACCTGAACAGATACAGATTACTAAAAACATCCAAATGACTACTAAAAACATTCCCATCGTGAGTACAGAGTCTATTACTCACATCCTCTCCTAATTCATCCTCATGTTTTGTAATCCTGCATGAATCTCATTCTTTGTACCTAACAAAAATTTGCCCATATTTCCCATCTATGATAAAAATGTTCCCCACCTTTCTATTCTCATTCTCTTTATGCCACAGGTATAATTCAACTTGCCACACTGGAATGTATCATTATTAACAATTATGATTATAAGGTAACATTCAAACGAGTGATACAAACAAAAGGACAAATATTATATGATTCAACTTCTATGCAGTACCTAGAACAGGTAAATTCGTGCAGAAAGAAAGAAGAGCAATTAACAGGTGGTAAGGAGAGTGTAGACAATTGATTTAATAGGTATAGAGTTTCAGTTTGGAATGGTGATAAAGTTCTGGAAGTGAATAAGATGGTATAATGAGGATACACTTATTGCCAATAAACTGTACATTTAAAGGCAGCTAAAAAGATTATTTATCACACGTTTTGCCACAGTAAAAAAAATTAATGAGTGATTTCCTATGAGGGTACTCCAATTGTCTTCTCCTCTAAAGAAGAGTGGCTTTTTCTACTCAGGTATTTCCTATAAACCATATTTTATATTACCATAAAAATCAGACTAGCCCATAAAATTTGTAAAATACTACAAAAAGAAAACATATATTTCAAAAAAAAACTTTTCAAAATACATCACATAATGTATTTGGTGTTGGGTGGGGGAGTCAGGGTTTTTTTGCCATTGTTGTTTTAGGTTTCTTTTGTCTTTTTGTCTACTGTATAGCTATAATAAGGCAAATTCAAAAATTAAAAATACTATTCAAGTTTATGCAAATCAGAAAAAGAGTAAATGTAATTCTATATTCAGATTCCTGTCCTATTTCAATGTTTCTTTACCTAAGATGAATTCAAATGGGTCTTTTACAGTAAACCAAATTAGTACATTTTAAACATTTAAAGTGTTCAATTTGTACCAAAATTCATCATAAAACTAATACATATGTTCATAATGGTAATATAATGCAAAATTTTCTTACCATGTCCACACCAACAAAATATCCTAAGCTCTCTTTTCCTGGCAAAACATCACAGAATATAACTGTTCCGGATTCTATAGTTTCTCCAACCTTCAAAGAAACTCTGGAGTTTATTTCCAAAGGGGGAAGTTCAACCTGCATGGTGTCCACAGAGCCTGCATAATCACTTTCCAGTCCATTATCATCATCTTCTATGATTTCTAGCTTGTCCAACGCCACAAACACACCACAGTCTTCATCACACTGAAAAAGCTGTTTCCCTTGATACACCCCATCAGTGAAACCTTGACCACGACCTTCTTCCTAGTTTTTAAGAGAGAAATTATTTTTAAGATAGATAGATAAATATAGAAAGATAATCTACAGGAAAGAAGATCTACCCTAGGGATTTCAGAGATATTACTTTGGAAAAAATTCTAAATGGCACAGATAATAAGAAATATAAATTAACTGTTGCTATTGGACTTAGGATGTTTAAAACATAAGCAGCTACATCTTACGCTGATATAAAATTACCTGATAATTCCAAATCATAATTGGATTGGGAAAAAGCTAGAATGGAGTCTACATTGTGATTCAAACATTAGTTTTGTAATAAAAAGAAATTTTGACCTTATTAGCAACATTAGTTTATTTACTGATCACTTACCGTATGATAGCCACTGTGCTAAGTCCTATATCAAAACATCACAAAGACATTACAAATTATGTACATTATATAGATGAGGAAGAAAATTTAGAGAAGTTACCTAGATTGATTAAGTAAGCAACCTGGAAATCCAGGTAGTATATGGCTTAATTGGCATTCAGATTCCTGTTTCACTACTTAAAAAAATTAAATCAAGAAGCAAATAGGGCAAAATGTGAATGCATTTATACTGTCATGTATAAATAACTAGAACAAATTAAAACATTTAAAAAGAAGCAAATAAGGCATGAAATTTTATTCACAAGAATATCAAAATGACATTGATATTTAAGTTCTTGAAAATTAAGTTTGAAAACATTCACAGAGTCATCAGGTTTCTGTCCAATAAAAATAAATTCCAAAATAATTCTCACATTTATTATCAGGGACAACTATAAGCAAGTTTAAATTGCTGCAACTTATTAAAAAATCTTATATCTAAATTGTCACTATTTAGTAGCACACATTAAGAAGAACTGAGAAACCTGTAGATGATAATGTCACAAGATAATTAACATGCTTTAAAATGATTAATTACAATTGAAGTTAATTTTAATATAAATAATGTTAAAATCTCAAAGATATAGAAAGTCTATAATTATGTTCATATTGTCATATACAGTTTCCAAGCATCATCTACATTATCTCAATTCATCATTAAAAATTAATCCTGGGGCTGGGGGCATAGCTCCATGGCAGAGCACTTGCCTTGCATACATGAGATCCTAGGTTAAATTCCCAGCACCATAAGAACAAAGAAATAAAGTAAACCAGTGAATATTAAAATCAGAGAACACTGGGCTGGGGTTGTGGCTCAGAGGTATAGCGCTCGCTTACCAGGCATGAAGCACCAGGTTCGATCCTCAGCACCACAAAAAAATAAAATAAATATTTTTTAAAAAATCAAAGAACACTTCTAGGAAAACTTACTTTGTGCTTAAAGGAGTAAAAACATATATATGCATACAAATACATACAGACACACAAACATACACATGCAGCCCACTAAAATCAAACTTACCAGCAATTCTACTCCAAAGAATATGCCTGACACTGTCCTCTCTGCTAGCAAGGGTCCTCTGAAGCGCACGACTCCTGGGAACTTCTCTTCCCCAGACCTCAGCTGTACTTTCACAGGGCAGCCCACGTCCACCTGGAGGCCTTTACTCAGCCGGCTTCTGTTTTTAAACAGGCTGAGCCTCTCCTCACAGTTGGTAATTGCCAACAGTAACTCTGTGAATTTTTCGTTTATTTCTACAACATCCTTTTCATCAACAAAGAGAACTGCATGAGGTTGCTCTAGAATTTTTAATCCAATCTGATTTTTCTTGGCTTTTGCAGAAGGAACCCTTGAGTGCCCCACAGAGCGGTCTTGGATATACTGTCCTATGCTCCCCTTTGGTACTTTAAGGAGCTTCTGTGTCTGTTTGTCTGTGACACTGCATTCTTGAAGAAGCAAATAAAAAATCCGCTCTTCCCAGTAGGGCGAAGTAACTTTTTCTTGGCTCCATAAGCCTGAACTCATTGTGATAATGACTTCAGAACATGAACTCAAAAAAATGAACCACTAGTAAGTTTGTCATAAAATTGCAAAAGATAAATTCACTGGCAGTCCCAAAGTATGTTTTTAGCAATTTGGTGTCCATGCTGTAAAAAGACAGCAAATCAAAATGCCTAGTGAACAAGCAAAATAAATAGATTTCATTCTCCATGAATTAAAATGAATTTAAACTAATTAAAATCAAAGGCTTTAAAAGTCTCATCTGACTAAGTAAACACACACACACACACACACACACACACACACACAAATGAACAATCTCCAAAAATAGCTAAAAGACATATATACTGGTATCTACTATAGCTGCATATTTAAGGAAATATAATTGTAAAGTACCTTCAAAAATAATTCAATAATGATTATTTCCAAGGCTCTAAAATTTATAAAACCAAATTCTTGCCAAAATTTTAAAGGTTAGCCTCATATACGTATTCTGAATTTTTATACTTTAAAAGGTAACATTTTTAATGAATTCTGCCTAACTTAAAAGTATAAGCTGCCTTTTTGAGCAAAACACACAATAAACAAATAAATGGCTCTCATTTCTGAATACACAGTTTAAATTAAAAGTTATACATTCTAGTACTGACAATCTTTTATCAATAAAAATATATCACATTCTGAAACTTCAACCACAATTCTCTTATGTGCATGCTCTATTTTGATAATGGAACATTTTACCTCTGACTCAATTTCATTTCCTTAATCTTGTACATTTTGTTCTTAGACAAGCAAATGCTAATCATTTTAATCATAGTTATCATTTCATTTCTCACAGTCCCAAATAACAGATATTATAGTTTTATTATATTAAAACTATCTTAAAAATAAATTCTGTAGCATCAAAATTTGTACTATATAACAAAGAGATAAAATTGCACTATAATGATATTGAATTGCAGATGTTTCTATCAAATATGAAGTGTTTTATGCCACAATTTCAATTATGCATACAAGGATTTCTTCTTTGACTTCAAATTTTCATTTAAAATTTTACAAAGATAACCATCTCTCACAATTAAAAAGACTCCTTCTCAAATCTACTTTAACTAATGGTTAAAAACTACATAATTTCATTAATTCAAACTGAGGACTGTATTTCCTTATTTGAATTATATTGCTGAAAACAACAGTTCCTATTCTCTGTCACATAAATAATGTGGCTATTTGGTTTCTAAATACAGTACTTATTTCATCCTCCTTTGAGATGGAGGTATCTATTTCCATTATTCTGGCTAACAGCAGCAATTGATAGCACTATTGAATTTCTCCATTTTATTCTTGCAATTAAAAAATAAAGGCTCCTAAAACTAAAGAACCAATTTAAGTTTAATCATTTCACAGTGAAACAATCCATATACAGAGTAATATTTCTTTTAGAAAGCATTGTTAAGTAATGCAGTACTTCATCCTGGTGAAGTTTTTGCACGTCTGTCCCTCTCTAAGTCAAAATTAGACTTGCAGGTTATCCAGGACAAGTGAGAGGCTAGYGCCCTGTCACATCAAAATTACTGTGGCACAACATAAAGTGAAGACAGAAGCAAAGGTGGCATCAAGTGGTTCTCCTCTTTTTTCTTCTTCTTTTGTAATGTACTTGCTTTAATTCCACTTGAGGGCACTGTCTACTTCAGCAGGAATGGAATCAATTTACATCTGCCACTTACATAAGACACCTGTGGACACCTCACTCTTGGCACCGCATAAACAAAATCCCTTAAAGGGCTGCCCAAGCAGCCATCCATCCCCTTTATTTGTCTTTATGCCTTTAGAGTACCAAAATGAAGTGTTTGCTTGTTTTCACTAAATTGCTTTTAAAATGTCAGCACTTTTCAACAAGAAAATTATTTTTTTTCTTGACCAGTGAATCGTCACTAGGAATATAAATTATTGTGTGTGACTCTTAATATGGAAGGCTGTTTGTTACTTTGTTAAAAGACTCTACCTCATACTTCTGTGCCCACTTGCTCGCTTTCTATAGATCTATAGTTCTCTCTTAGAATCAGCCATTTTCTGTGGTTTCCTGTAGTACACATTTGACTCCTTTTACAGCCTTGTTGCTTTCCAACTTACTGCTTCTCATCAGTTCTGAGAAGCCAGATGATGAGATATGTCTGTATGTTAAAAAAAAAAAAAAGCACCAAAAACAAAAAGAATACACAAATTCTGAAAGGATCTTTAGGAGTAAAGTGCACAGGTTTTATTGCAAAGATATTATTTTGATTGTTCTTAGAAGGTTAAAGTAGTCAAAAAGCACCTCCAAAGCAGTGAGCTGTTGGTCTGGTTCTTTTAAAAATGTATTTAAATTGTGTGTGTGGGAAGGAGAGGGGTGTTAAATTTTTTTAAGGATAAATAAATTATATTTTCAAAAGAAATACTTTTTTAATTTCTAAAAATAACCTTCAAATATTAAAATCAGAAACTTCCTCTAATCTTTTCACTTATATGCCAATAATTCCGATAAAAGAGTCTCTTAAAAAAATTCATGTCACAATTTAAAATAAAAACCACCGGTGCCAAAAAAATATCAAAGCAAAATAAATTATTATATGTAATGAATGAGGACACTATATTTTAAATAAATTTGATTATAAAATTGATATTTGCAAATTATTTAAGAGCATCCCCAATAAAAATTGATATGATTACTCAGGTTATTAAAAAGTTGAGGGCAAAAGTAGTTTTCAAGTACCATTTTTTAAAGCAAACTACACAAGAAGTGGTAACTTTTTTGCTAACTTGCAATAGCACAAGTGGGTATGAACTTAGACTAAATAAAAGCATAGCAGACATTTAGAAGAGTCAAAGCAAAAGTTATAAAATATTCAAAACACATTATCCAAAAATAAAAAGCATGTGCCTTTCCTCTTTTAGAAAAAATACATTAAGAAAAGGTTTGAAACTATAGTATTAAAAAATTGATTATCGTTATTGCAAATGACAGAGAAAGTTGAATGGGAAAGYCTATTAAGGCTCTGGCCTAAAGGTATACATGATGATAAACCTGATGATCATTAATATTCTCAAAATACTACATAAGTATTACAACAGGAATATGCCAAGACATATTCCCTCCTACTGTAGTAACGAATACAATGCCAACGTTCTTTCACTAGGCTATGCACAATAGTTAAATAAAGTTTAAGAACGCCAAGCAATAAACCTTGCCTGAATCAAGGGAAAGATTTAAATCACACTGTAAATGAGATTTTGTCAATCAAGAAGGTTGGCTTGTGGGTTTAGTATTTTGATGCACACAGTACTGTAATAGACACTGACAAATACAGAAGATTTGAGACAGGATGACTGCCTTCAATAAGTCATCTCATTTTATTCAGCTTCTGCCTTTAAGTAAAGGTCCCGGAAGCAGTAAGGCAACACAGGGCAAAAACACAGCCAAACTCAAAATTGGGGATGGGTAGGGAAGTGAGGGGGCAGTGCAATTTTCATTTGTGTGCTCTTGTTTAATACTTTATAAGCAGAATCACTGTGAGGATGAATAAAGAAAAATGACTCATCTAAATACTATCATATTTCAGGCTCAATAACTGAGTGACCAGACCATGAATATTCTGATAATTACTGTAAGTACTGAATGAAGATTATCAAAGAACTGGAATACAGTAGTATATTTAAGACCCAAACGGTGCTGAACAGAAGGCCTTTCTTTCAAGAACACTGAAGGTAACAACTCAGTGTCACATAGATTTGAAATCTTATCTGGTTATCTGAGCTTGTTGATGGTCTAGATTCATAGTGAAGGGCATTTAACTGTATGAAGATAAAATCATTAAACCAAGTTGAGGGTTGAAAAGCACAAATATTAGTCAATTTCCTATGAACGAAATGAAAAGGAGATGATCAAGAAATAAGTCTTACATAAAATTATTAAAGAATTATCAAGTTCTAAGAGCAACACATAAGCACAAATGATCATTATCTACATAAAATTGACAGTGGTTAACCTATCTAGAAGATACAATGTCATTTGCATTTTCAAGTTATCAGGTTATACCATTCAGAAGAACCTTACAGAGACAGGTGTAATTCAAGAACTCTGCCATCTCCTGTGATACCCTGTTTGTTTCAAAAACTACAGGAAGCTATCTAAATCAAAATACAAATTAGAATATCAAATACTGCCCTTAATTATAAATGACAAAGAGATAGGAAGATCAGCATGAACACCCAAGAAAGAGGACATGTGAGCCTTTTTCAAATGCTCCTAGGTAGCTACAATGATTACCATTCTAAGAAAGAACAACACTCACTAAAGGAACAAGTTGTTATGTTCCTAAACAGAGAATTTATATATTCCTAAATGCAGAGATTCCAATAACAGTAAAAAGACTTGATTGGTTTTAATTTTTCTCATAGATTAATATGTGACACAAGCACACAGTCCCTAAAACAGGTGGGTCTTACAAGGTTACAAAAAACATCTGACTCTTGAATCTGAATATTCAAGTCAGAAGGACAAGGAACACTGCTGTCTCACTAGAATTAAACCTAGCCACTGAACTCCCAAAATGTGAATCCCCCAATTCCTTCATCTCTGAACCTCCAGGGCCCAGACAAAATGATAACAGTTGAAGCCAAAATGCCATTTCCTTAACCTAACTGTTTAATTATTCAAGGCTTCTTCAGGTTAAACAAAAGAAAAACATTCAAGAGTTGGACCATTTAGTGATTTTTTTTGGTCTAGAACATCACTAATTCTCTAGATAAGGGAAGTCAAGATCAACTTTTACTCCACTTCATTGTTACAAATAAGGCAGAAACAAATAAGGTAATTTTCACAATTATGAAACAAGTTGTTTTGAGGTTCATTTGAAACCAGCTTCCAAGAACCTCACACCACATATGACGCTCTGAAACTCTACATCGATATTAAAATCCCCCAACAAACTTAAGATCATACTGTGAAAATCAGGAACAAACAGTGCATAATGAAAACACTCCCTTCTCTCTTCTTCCTTAAATCAAATGGGAACCACAGCTTAGGCATGCCAGACCACAGAAATCATTGCTGCTGGTCTTTCTTTTATATAACAAGTGCCCTTGCCTTATCAGCTCCTCACCAAAGTTACCACCCAATACAAGCTTATTTGCAAGAATGCCTTATATTTTTGCAGCAGAACATTAAGAAAATGTTCTAGGCAGTATTAACATTCAGAGTATATGAACTTAAATAAAAATTTCAGCAAATCACTTTGTCTTTGTACTGTTCTAGTTTAAATCCACCCACTACCCAGTGGGGACCTGCAGGCTAAATTCTTAGAGCCATTCAACCTATCAGGGCATGAGGGGGTGCACAGAAATCGACACTTGAATGCACACCCTCTTGAGGCCTGGGTTTTTCTCTGAAAGCCAATGATTGCAAAATGAACAATGTTATTAAGATCCATAATTATCCCCAATTCAAAAGGAAGGTATGAATGCTCCTTAGCTAAGGACACAACTTTTCAGGGAAAATCAGGAAGAGGGAGGTGGAAAGGATGGTGGAGGCTGGGAGACTGCAAGGCTACAGGCTTGGTGGCTGAAAGATGACAACCATCCTAAAACATGCAAATGCCAAGGGATGGAATAGAAAAGATGCCAAGTACATGAATAACCTGGCAGCTGACCCAGCTGAGCACCAAACTCAAGAACACCATCTTCTTTCAAGACTTCACGATTCCCCCCCCCCAGAACCTTAATAAAACCATCCAAAGAAAAACAGGAAGAAATTATACCTGTCTCAACAGGGCACAAGCTTTCAACTAAAGAACTCCGAGTTGTGCAAAACCATCCTCACCCTGGAAAGGCAAAACTGAAAGAAAACGCAGGACACGCCATTAACGAGGCCAGAATCCCCACTGCTCTTCCTGGACMCAAGCTACAAATGCCCCCAATACCACAGATCCATGCGCCCCACAGCACGGACGTGAGACATTAAAACCCGGGGCTCTCGGGGCCAACTAGGGCCTTAGGGAGCCAGCCAGAGGCCCGTGCCTCAGCTTCCCCGTCTGTAAATGGGGAGGAGTCCAAAGAGGGAGTCTGAGTCCTGCGCTGCTCCCACTCCAAGCCCTTTCTCCTCCCCAGATCCCGGCGGCGGCGACCACGCTCCCACGACTCGGAGCCCTCCGGGAAGGCTGGGGGTGGGTGGCGGGGAGCCCGGGCTGACGTCAGCGGGCTCAGCACCCCCTGGGCCCGGCTGTCTCGGGCTGACCGGGGCAGCTAACCGGCCAGCGCCGAGGCCCGACGGTCGCCACCGCGGCCAGAGGCGCCCTGAGGCCGGGGAGGAGCGCCCGGGGGAATGCGGCCGCTAGCCGTTCGGCCCCCAGCTCACTCACCACTTTGGGCAGCGGGGCGTCGCCGCCTGGCGGGCCTCCCGAGCCAGTGTCCCGGGCCGGCCCCGGCGCTCCACACCCACCGCCCCAGTATTTACCTCCGACGCGCCTGGGGGCCCCCGCACAGCCGAACCTGCTACCTGGGCCCGCCCCCACCTGCCCCGCCTCCGAACCACAGGGGTGGGGGGGGGAGAAGCGGGGGCGAAGGGGGCAACCACCGCGATAACCAATCGCAGCCCGAGTTGCGTTTCTACGTGCGTCCTGATTGGGCTTTCCTGTGACAGACCTTCCTCCAATGGCTGTCGGCGCGGCGCCGGCAGAAGGGACTTTCCGCTCTGTCAAGCTCGGTGGAACCAAAAGGAAAGCAGAGAGAAGGGGCGGAGAAGAACGGGAAGGGGGGGGCGGGAAGCCCCGATTGATTGGACGAAAGGCTGCGGGTGCCGCGTCACCATTGGCTGAGGCCAGAGCCAGGGCGTGGTGCCGGGCTGCCGGCCCCACCTCCCACACTCAGGTCTTGGCTCCTGCCTCAGCTGTCAAAACGGGTGGGAAGCAGTCCAGATGAGAGCTGGGAACAGTGTTCCAGGATTTCATGAAAGAGCAAAGCTTTAGAGTCACACCTAAGAGTGAAAGTTTTGCTCTCTCAATTCGCCGCGTGACGGGGGGGGGGGGAATTCACAACCACGTTGAGTCTCAATTTCCTCATCTGCAAAATAAAGAGTATCAATTGTCTTACAGGACTATTGTGTCAGGCCATATTAAAGTTTCTGGCACGCAGTAGGAGCTCAGTAAAGGTTAAAACTCTCACTACCCTCTCAGAGGCGTCCTGGGGTCCCAGCTGTTTCTGAACCTCAGTTACCATCCATCCCCAGTTTGTAGAGAGGTTTCCTAAGGGAGGTAAAGAAGGGATTTCCACGAGCTTCACCAGTCAGCCCTGCACCCCTGGCCACCGGCCAGGACTTGGGGTGTAGTTAAGGATCTTTCAATTAAAAGAGAGGCTTCTGATTCCCAAAAGTGCTCAAAATATTTAAGGAAATGCTTTTTATAATCAGTCCAAGAGCTTTGCAGCCTGCCTTGCTGCACTGGATACTCTCATTAATTAATTCCTTCTCCTTTGACATTTTAAGTACTAATTATGGTGGAAGGTGATTAATACTGAGAAAGGGGGAGGGATGTGCGTCTGTGCGCGCGCTTAATCATGACACAAATTTCCCCAGTGGAAAGTGACATGTTTCTGGGGATCTGGGAGATTTAAACCAATGAGTACATAAAAGAAGTACCGTGAGTGATTACTAAAAGTGATCCTAAACAGACTACCTCCTCTCCCTTTCCATAATCACTCAGAATGAAATGAACATTTTTGAAAACCTAGACCTCGGTCCTCTCTATCCTTAGGACACCCTTATCCTGTTTCCCAGGTTTTGTGAGCACACCCCAGACAGGAGCAATATGATGAGCATCTACAGCCTAGCTTGCCGTGTGGCCTTAGACAGCACCATTGCCCTCTAGATCTACATTCTCCAATAAAGCTGGTAGACTCATAAGTCAGTCTGGCTGTCTGGGAAAAAAATTCATTCTGAAGGCTGTTTTTGCTTGACCCATACAATAAGACGAATGGAAAAGAAGAGAAAGCAGAGAGAGGGGTTTTGAGTCTTTCAGACAAAGCAAGCTCTCTCTTTCTCTAGTTTGCCATATCTCTCACCATTCACTATTTTATGCCTCTGGACCACTTCTCTCATTTGTATTATCAATTAGCCCCTGAAGACATTTTGGTTTGCCACCCCTGGACTAGAGAATCTTTATGTCCTTTCTGATGGTGGCATCTGGTATTGGTAGGGCTTTCTTTCCCACCAGCAGTGGTCAGATACCTTGCTCAGCCCTCCTGTCACATGTCCATTGAATCAGTATCTGGGCCTGATTTCATCCAAGAGATGTCATCCAAGCCAAGCCTGACAAACAGGCTTATGTCGGTTACCATCTCCTATCAGTGGGTAACGACTGCTTAGAACTGTATGTTGGTGACTATCCTGAAAGCCACGTATTCAGACTCACAGGGGCCTGTCATGGAGTGATATGACAGAACAGAGTCATAGTGCTATTTGTTTGCAGTCCTTTATCAACCATCCTCTGCTTTTATAGAAGAAGTATTAAGGTCCAGAGAGGGGAAAGTAACTTCCCATAGTCACCCAGGAGATGGGTTAAGAGCTGATTTTCCTTATTCCATCYAGGATTCTTTCATCTCTCTTTCAATGGATTCACCAACTGAACGGTTCATCCTAACTTCCAAATACTTCCTTCATATAGGGCCCAGCCAAAGTCTAGCCTCGTCCAGGGGGGTCTTTGTTGATGGCTCTAGTCCCCACTGATCACCTCTGTCTCTCCACTCCTCCCCTCAGCCTGTTCCACCCAGCCTGACCCCTGGGTTTATACAAGTGGCGGTTGAGTGACTGAACAGGACCAGTCAACACCACAGTGCTGCCCCTAACAAGGAAGGTGGACTTTAAACCACTGATTACACAATCACCCAACTTAATTACAGTTCTAGTGAGTTCAGGGGGAGAACTGCTTTGGGCAAACAGGAAGGGTGGTGGGGCACTCAGGGACGGCCTGTTTGAGGAAGCCACTTTACACTGAGTTAGGAATGATGGCCGCAGTTGAAGGTGAGGGTAAGCCCTGCACACAGAGGGAACTGAAAGGTGCATGACATGTTGAAGGAACTGAAAGAGGCAGAGCAAACAGGGCAGCAAAAGGGTCAAGGAAGCTGGTAAATTCCAGAGCCGCGTAGGAGCCTCTGATGTCACAGATGGTCAGACTCACAGAAGCCCTCTCCRTAGCACTGGCTGAGGTTATTGATCAGGTCCTGTCCCAGGCTTCCTAGTGGCTGCCACAGGCTCCTTCTCCTTCCAGCCTCATCAGATTCCATGTTTACTTCCTATTTCACCACTACTCCACCTCTCCACTCACCATCACCAAAAGGGATCAGGTGATAGTCCCCACACCCACTGCAGCCCCCCTGCTGTCCCCACCTCAGTAAAGGGCAACTTCCAATCACACATCTGGCCTCCCATGGTTCCAGTCATTTTCCCACCACCCCTGTGCACACAGGCGACCTGGACCAGGCATCCACACAGGTAAGGATAGGGTACCACTGTTTTCTCCATAGTATCCCAGTGACCTGTCTTGATCCATGGATGAGGAGTTGGGAGACCTCCATCTCAGAGATGTGCTTATCCTTCAAGGAGGAGAAACTCCGGGTGAAACTGAGCATTCTGCCTGGGGGCTTTTATTCTGGCCACCTACAAGCTCTTTATGATGAGGTAAAAGGGATTGCTTTAATCACCTTTAAACTAATCCAGCTGAACTATAAACCTATGCTCTCCTTTTTTGAGCTATTTTTTTATATCAGTGACAAATGATTTCTGGGTATGATTTAAAAACACACAGAGAGGAGAAAGGCTTAATGCTCACCATTGAGAACTTTGTGCTACATCTGTAATCTCCGACAGCTGGTGCAATAGGATTGGCCTCATGTCCAGCAGAACCTTCCTCCATAGCAAGGAGGCATTAGCAGTGTCAAGGGGGTGGAGGTGGGGGGTTATTCTTACAACCTGTCCCAACTTGAATCTTCTGTTCCCTTTAAGTAGGGTGAATCCTTCATCTATCAACAAATATTGAGCGCCTACTAAGTGCTGGGCACCTTTATAGACTCTGAATACACTGCAGTGAGTATTGTTCCTGTTCTCAAGGAGCTGGTATTCCAGGGGAAGCGTCGTTAGTTATTTTGGTTCATGATTTCAGAGGTTTCAGTCTATGGTCACTTGTCCCTGTTGATTTAGGGCTGTGGCAGCAAAGGACATCATGGTAGGAGCATGTGGCAGAAGAGTCYTGTTCACCTCATGGCAGCCAGAGAGAGAAAGAGAGAGCAGGGGGAAGGAAGGGCTAGGATCCAAATRGCATCTTCAAGGCCACGCCCCTGAGTGACCTAACTTCCTTCCACTAAGCCCCACCTCCTAAAGGACCCACCCCCTCCCAAGGGCACAAAGCTGATCTCCAAGCCCTTAACACACAAGCCTTGGGGAGACATTCAAGATCCAAATCCCGGATCACAAGTTCAAAGCCAGCAATTTGGTCCTAAGCAACTCAGTGAGACTCTGTTTCTAAATAAAATACAAGATAGGGCTGGAGATGTGGCTCAGGGGTTGAGTGCCTCTGAGTTTAATGCCCAGTACTCCACCCCCCCCCCAAAAAAAAAATCCAAACTAGAGCACAAAGGAAGAAACAAATGAACACCCGGTTGTACACCTTTACACAGGCTGAGGGGAAAGGAATGGCTGAGCATAGACAGATGGTTCAGGGAAGGACTCCCTCAAGGAGGTGGTGTATGAACAAAGGTCGGGAGGAAATGGAGCAAGCCATAGCACTGTCTAGGGAAAGAGGACATCCCTAAGAGAGACCAGACACGGGGAAAGGTATGGAAGCAGAGAAAGGGAAACCTTCAAGACACTCCTGCAAGAATCCAGGAAATAAATTTAAGAAAGAAAGAATCCAGGCCAAGGGGGTTCTCAGGGGGTCCTTGTTTCCTGGGGGACAGCAGAGAAGCAGCAGGTGGGAAGGAATATGGAACTCTAGATGTCAAGAAAGGAGGTGTTCCAAATAGAACACGAGGCGGAGCTCCTGAGAGGGTTTTCAGGGAGAGTGATGGGGGACCGTCGAGGCTTAGAGGATTGGGTTGGTGGATGGTTCTGGAACTGATGATAGTTTGGCACTAAATTTAAAGAAGAGAAAAAAAGGTCGGGGGCGGGGGGAGTCTTCAGCAGAGACAAAGATCTTGTATTTCTAGCTGGCACAGCTGTAGTCTCTTCAAATGCGGCCCTCCAAGGGGAAATTGTTCAGGTCAGTCCCCATGTCCTGGGTCACCTTACTGTTCACCTGTAATACCATCCAGGGCCCTAGGATGCAGGTGCCCCATACATGGGCACTGCCAGGGTGATTCCTGTGTGCTTCGCCCCCTGGCCTGGACCAGTCATCTGAGTGGGAGAGAGGCTGGAAGATACACTGGTACAACGAGGAACAACGCTCTGTTCTCCTCTCACACTTCAGTGGGGTGTGTTCATTCCAGCATCCTGTTTTTGGCATTATTAAGAGGACTGGGGACTAGCAGAAACACTCAGATTGACACTTTTGTATTCCAGGATGATGGTAAATATAATTAAAGTCTGAGGCTCTTTTGAAAATTCTCATGCACAAATACCTTGTTTTTCTGCACAGAGGAAATAAATATTCTTAGTCATAAATCTGGGTTCTGTCTCCTCTGGATAAGCCACCAGCCATGATCACAGCCCATTCAGGTAGCTTCCCTGTCAGAGAACCTTAAGATTAAGAATCCTAGGGGCTGGGGCTGGGGCTCAGCGGTAGGTCACTTACCTGGTATGTGTGAGGCACTGGGTTCGATTCTCAGCACCACATGTAAATCAATCAATCAATCAATAAAGGTCTATCAACAATTAAAAATATTTTTTAAAAAAGAATCCTAGTTCACTGGTTACCTACACAGGCCCAGAATGCTTTTGATGATAGCTGCTAGATTTTTCAAAGTTAATATACCAAGATTTCAGTACCACCCTTACCTTTACCTGGAGGCCTCTTGACTTTTCCACTTAAGCATCTCAATCTTGGCAATCCAGAACAGAAGTTCKTTCCCCTTCTAAATTTGCTTTCTATGGATCTTAGTCCTTAGGTACTCAAGGCAGATAGCTAGGAGGCATCCTGGACCCTTGCCTTCCCCCGAGCTCTTACCCAGTCTAACCAGAAGCTCTTGAGAATCTGACTCCAGAATGCCTGGAATCCCTTCTCTTCTGTCCACCTCCACTGCTGGCACCCCAGGCTGGCCCACCGCCTCTCCCCTGCAATGACACTGAGGCCGCCTCCCCACTTTCTCTTCCTGTAGCCCCATCTCCACTCAAGAGCAAAGAAGGTCTTGGTTACACAGTCATTGGGTCACATCTCTCCCGCTCTGAATCCTTCTGGGCTTGCTGTTATTCTAAGATCAAGGTCACCTTCCTTACCATGGCCATCTAAACTGTTCATGCAAACCCGTCCGGTGACAGCCTCCCTTCCTCCGGCCACCAACCTACTGTATTAGTTTCCTCTGGCTGCCGTGACAAACTGCCACAAACTTGGTGGTTTCAGGTGACACAGATATTCTCTTGTAACCTGGAGGCCAGAAATCCAACATGGAATGGACCCAGGGTAGCCAGGGCTACCAACTCCCCCCAAAGTTCCAAGCGAGAATCTGTGTCACTGCCTTTTCCAAAGGCTTCTAAAGCAGCTGCTGCACTCCTGGGCGCCTGGCCCCTTCTTCCACCGTCCAACCCAGCAGCATGGCATCTGGCTTCGGGGGTCCCAGGCTGCCTTCTCTCTTGTCAACCGCTCCTTTGCTTCTCTCTTATAAGGACACTGGTGATAGCATTTAGGTCCTACCACATAACCCAGGATGATCTCCCCATCTYAAGATCCTGAACTTAATCATGTCTGCAAAGTCCCAGATTTCAATACCACCCTTACCCCTTCCCTGCTGCCATGTCAACAGCATTCACGGGTCTCAGGGACCAGGGCCCGATGGCTTTGGGGGCTGAGCAGCCTGCCGCACATAGCAAGCTCCTGCCCTTTACAGAGTGTTTGTCAACAGCTCCTTCCTGTAACTGGAAGGCCTTCCCTCCCCCTCTCCCATGGCATGGCCAGCCCCTCCTCCTTCTTGGGGACACAGCATACCTGGCACCTCCTCTGAGGTCCTGGCTCAGACCAACCCCTCCGTGGCCTGAAGAAGGGCCCCTCTACCTGGCACCTTTATTCATCTCTCTCTTGGCCGGCTTTTCTTTGCTGTGACAAAGTACCTAAGATAAAAGGAGGAAAGGTCACTTGTTCCTATTGCTTTGGGCCTTGGTGGCACTCAGTACATCATGGCAAGGGGGTACATGTCAGAGGAGGCTGGTCACCTCCTGAAGGCCAGGAATTCCGAGAGAAGAAGGGTCCTGGATCCCAATATCCCCTTCAAAGGCATGTCCCCAGGGACTTAACTGCCCTACATCCTGAAGGTCCCTCGCTGTCCCATGAGCACCACAGACTGGCAACCTAGCCTCTAACGCGCCGGCCTCCAGGAGGCATTTCCCATCCCAAACGACAGCCTCCCTCCCAGCACTTACTGCAGTGGACCTGATTTTGAGACATTTTTCAATGGACCTAATTTCTTCCTGCCTTTTCCTCCACCCTCACCTAAGTGCYTTGAGGACAGGGAATCTGTCTGTTTTGTTTATCCACAGGTTGTCCCAACACCACTGGTTAATAAGTCCTTGCTGAATGGACTCAGGAAAGATGAATTTACACCCAAGATGGCGCTGCACGAATGGGCTGCTGTGTTCACTCCTCAGTGAGAGTAGCTCCATCTCCACCTCCCTCCAGACCTTCCGCACCAGAAAGCACAGGCCGGGCAACAGCACAGCRCCGGTAACCAAGAGCCCAGGGGCTTGCCCAAGCTCAGAGCCCAGGGAGATGGCGCCATTGAGGGAGCCAGACACACTCGAAACCTTTCAGAGAGTCTGGACTCCACTGTGGCCAGCGGCCACCTGAGCCCATGCTCATTAAATGTAGCTAAGAATCCTTTCAGCAGGGCCCGCAGGAGAGGCCACCAGCAGAGGACAGCAGCCTGCAAATCTCCATCTTTGTCCTGGTAAAGACTCCTGCAGCCACTTGGAGAGAACTGAGGAAGGCCCTGGGGGCCTTTTCACATTTGCTCCGACTCTCAGTGGGACACCGGGAGGCTCAGGCACAGCTGAGAACTTCACACTGAGTTAGAGTCTCTAAGCTGAAGCCAAATGCGTTTTGATTGCCAGTCTATTTCTAAGAATTGCTTCTGCCTTCAGCAATAAATTATCTTGTTGAAAACATTCCTTTCCCCCATTTGAGAAGAACATTGTGCTTTAAAATTTGACAAGTTTTTGGAATATTTAAAAATGTTTGGTCACAACGAAGATGGCATTGGTAACTCAACAGTTTTCTCCTCTGTGATTATTTACAGGAAACAGTTCGTCATCCTGTGCTCTATGAAAGTATCAACTGGGGAGAATAAAACGAAGTAGTTTACAAATATTAAGCCCGTTTTCACACATAATAATGTTTACAGTGATAACACATGTGCAGCACCTGACAGTTTACAAAGGTTTCAACCTGTATCATTTTGAAAAATCCAGAGAGAACAACCAAGCACAGTGGTGCATACCTACCTATAACCTCAGCTACAAGGGAGGCTGAGGCAGGAGGATCACATGTTTGAGGCCAGCCTCAAGCCTGTCTCAAAATTTGAAAACAAAAAATACATTGAAAGGCCTAGGGATGTGGATGTGGTTAGTGCTCTAGTTCCCCGGGTGGATTCAATTTCAGTACAAAAAAAAGAGAGAGGAAAATAAAAGTATAGAAAGAACATTGCTTTGAAAGAAGGGTCTGGTTTTGCCCCCTGTAAACTTCCAATCCATAACTATATATCCTGAAGCATTCTGCACAAATGAAAGGGAACCATCTCTTATGGAAATGTTTCCAAAGTCTGTTGTCAGAGTTCAGTTCAGAGGCATCAACCAGAAGCCTACTGGGGCCRTTTGGAATTCTGGCCCAGATTAATTTTTAAAAGCTGCATTTGGATGGGGAGCTAGTTCCAAAAGCTTAACTTAAGTGTAATTGATTTCACTGGAAATAAAAGTCCATGTGTATCCGAGCTGAAGCATGATCCTATTTTTCTTGCAAATCTAAGAATGTCTTAGGGAACAAAAGGCTGCCCCATGTCTCCCTCTGGCACCRTCTTGGGCGGCAGAGCAGGGGAAGCTGTGGCCCATCCCAGGGCCAGGGCTGGGAGCCCTCTGGGTCTCCGCAGGGTAGTGGAGGAGGCAGGCTGGGAACCACTGGGTGGATGAACCAGGAGGTGGAGGGGCAGAAAGCTGTCTCCTGGATGTACCTCCTCCTCTGACTGTGGGTCAGGACCGGCAGGCACTCAGCAGACCCCCAGGGTCCCACTGACCCCCACTCAGAACCCTGGCGGATTAGCTGGGCCCGGGCCCAGACTGGGAGGGAGGGGCTGCCCTCTTGTCCATCCCATGGATTGAGTCTGGGGCAGAACCTGAGAGCAGAAGTAGGCTTGGGGAAGTCCACTCTGAAGGGCACTGCGGTGCCTTCCTCCTGTGGAGTCAGGTGACCTGTGGTGCTCTCTGAAAACAGATTCATCCCGGGGCAGGACAGGGCTCTGTCTGAATGGGCTGCTGCCAATCCAAGCTTCCAGGGTCCAGACCACAGCTTCCTCACCAACCAACTGAAATGAGCCTCGGCCTGGAACCATCAAAGCAAGAGTCTGCTGTCCCTGTGGCTGAGCTGCTGGGTTTCCTCCAGAGAGAGACTGTTGCCTCTGAGCCTGGAAAGGATAARGGGAAGAGAGGTTGGATGGAGGACAAAATTAGAGCCGGGCTTTCAAAGGGAAGCTGCCACTTTGGCCACCCATGCCTGGGAGGGGCTGACCCCTGGGCCCGGCTGCGGCGCTCGGGGGAGGGAAGTTGGTGCTGTTTTTACCCTCGGTCACCCAGGGCGGCTCRTGAATCATTCTGCACGATGAACAAGGCTCCGTGACGCTGCAGAAAGAGTCCACCGCCCTGAGCCAGGCCGGCTGCAGACTCCCCGGGGCCGGCCCTTCTTTTTAAGGCAGCCACGGAATCGGTCAAGAATGCCGCGATCAAATCCTGATACCTCCTCCCAAGCCCTGTTTGACAGGCGGCAAGCAGCACCCAAGCCCTTAAAATACCCACCTGACGCTGGCTTGCTCCCTGGACACAGAATGTGACATTTCTGAGGACTGTGCAATGGTTTAAAAAAAATAAAAAAATAAAAACCACCCCCCCGCCCCCCCCCCGCCCAGGACCCAGTGACCTTGGAGGCTACGGGGGTCCACAATGTTACAGAAAGCAAAACCACTCCAGCCCAGGACGAATTTTCACAAACAGATTTGTGCTTGATTTCATCATTTGATGTCCACATTTGCTGCTGCCTCAATGTACTTTTGGCAGAAAGGACAAAGTCTATATTAAAATAGGGGTCAGAGCTTCCAGGGACGGGGAGGTAAAATACAGAAGCCAAAGGTCTTGCTCTAAGACGGCAGGCATGGCGGGGTCTGCATCCAGCACAGCCCGAGACTGCCCACCTCTCCCCTCTTCTGATCAAGGGCATTGCAAATGAGACTCCAGACTCGCTGGCTCTTTCAAGAAAGCCCTGAAATGTAGATTTGCATAGCAGATCTCTTACTGTTTTAAAATATCGGTACCCGAAACACAGACAGCAACATTCCCTCATAATGAGCTAGAGCAGGGTAACACTTTCTACTTATTGTCTGAGTGAGAAACAGATCCCTGGAAACAAGGAGGATACATCTCTGAAGTCGTGACTTGATGCTTTTTCCAAATGCATGAAGGACTGTGGTTTTAAATTGCACGGCTGTGGATACACTGAGCCCCAGCCTCCCCAGTGGGTCACCTCCAGGATCCAGAACTGCAGAGGATCCTCACCAGGGCGGGCATCAAGTTCTTTGCTCTTCTTTTCATTCCTCAATCACACTCCCAATCCTACCCTGTTGCTGAACTTTTTCAGTAAATACTCATGATTTTAAAACGAAAGAATGGATTTCCACTCAGAGACGCCAAGAATTCTTTCCCAGCCAGAGATCCAGTTCCGTCACATGCAGAGCGACACAGAGTGTCAGAGTCAGAAGGGATTTTGAACGTGGTGCTGTGTTCCTCTCTCCCCTTTACCCACTTTGCAGATAGGAAAACTGAGGCTCGGAGGAGTTCCCAGGGTCCTTACCAGACTTCCAGGATGGTGTCATTCCCTTTGAGGGCCTGCAGGAGGGCTTCTGCACCCAGGCGGGTGATGCCATTGTTGGACAGCCTGGAGAAGAGGAGATGGTGAGCTTCAAAGATGCTTGGTCTGCCTCTTGAGCAAACCAAGACTCTCAAGGTCTCCAGCTATAGGAGACTTTGAGAGTTAGCCAGCTACCTGAGCTCATCTGTGCCCTTGGAACACCCCTCTCCTCTCTGGGATTCCCAACCCTCCCCTTAGGAGGGTGCTGTAGTGGAATGGCTAAGTTCCTACATTTAAGGGGACTTCCAGGGTTCAAATCCAGCCTGCACCATCTCCTTTTTATTGTGTGGTACTTGAGACTAGACCCAGGGGGTACTCTGTCACTGAGCTACACCCCCAGACCTTTTTATTTTTAATCTTGATACAGGGTCTTGCTAAGTTGCTTAGGGCCTCACTAAATTGCTTCAAGTTAACCTTGAACTTAGGATCCTCCTGCCTCAGCCTCCAGTCACTGGATTCATAGGCATACCCCACCACACCCAGCACCATCTCCTTTTTGGTCTCCAGCAAATTTGTCTCACTTCTCATCTGTGAAATGGGCATAAAGGGGGACCCACCACATAGAACTGAACAAAGGATGGCATGGGGCACCGTGCCTGACTGTCAGAAAATATCAACAAGCTAATRTTTTCAGATCTGGGGAGGATTCAGGGCACCCAGGACCACAGGTTAGAAACCACAGGAGGCTGGAGATGAGCTCCAGCCCAGGAAGGAGGGGAAGAGCTCCGTGTTTCCCACACCACCCTTATGTTTAAAGCTTTGCCTTGTAGTCTATCCACTCCCTGTCTCCCCTCCACCCGCAGCTGACCTGAGGCAATGCTAAGCTGTTCTATAGGCCAGTTCATGATTATATCAATGAAGGTGCCCAGCCCCATGAGGAGCGGCCAACTGCTATCCCCATTCACACTTGAGGCCACCCAGGCACCCATCCAAGGAGAAACAGCTGGCAGTGGGGGAGCTGGGGTACCAACCCGGGCTGTCTGGCTGCCCAGCCTGGACTCTAACCATGCTTGGGACAGAGAATATGCTAGAAAAAGAAAGATGTGGGTCTCTCTCTCTCTCTCTCTCTCTCTCTCCACACCAGCAGCTCAGTTTTTATGGGGAAACAGTGGGACATGATACAGATGCTCAATAATAAAGCTGGTGACAACGTAGCATGGTACAAGCACCCCGCGCCCCCGTCATGCCTGGCATCTGTGGGATAAGTCTGGGACAGTGAGGGAGGGTGAACTTGCCACATCCACACCTGGTCACAGTGGGCCAGGTACTGCCAAGGGCCCCGCTTTGTGCAAAGCTGGCATCCAGCTCAGGCAAATCCGGGCTGTGCCCAGGCCTCGCGGCCCACTTGATGAGTGGACGTGTTTCCCCCAAACACTGGCAACATCCTGGCCCCTGCAAAGCAACCCAACACGCCTTGCCAGAGAGGACATGGTCTGGAGCAGAGCTGACGCTCATCCAGAGGCAGCCGAGCACCTGTCTCAAAGACAAGTGTGTTCCTGAGCCGCGGGAAGACACCACCTTCCTCCGGCAGAGGCAGCCATCCATGGGGCCCTGAGGTCCCCGTGAATCCAGACCTTGGGCAGCAGCTGCAGATGCACTGACAGCCTGCGGGGGTCATTAAGTGGGCTACTGATGACACCACTGTCCCTTAGGGTGAAACCCCAAGTCCTTGCGTGGCTCTGGGGCTTTCTCCTCCTTCCCCCTCCACCCCAGCTGCAGAAACCCCTCTGTTCCCAGGGCCACCAGGTCTGCAGCTGCCTGGGCCTTGGCACTGRCGGATTCGTCCCTCCTGCCCCAAGGACGCGCTTCCCTGAGACCTCAGCATGGCAGGCGCCTTCCTGCGGTTCAGGTGTCAATTCAGACGCCACGTTCTCCGAGAGGCCCTGCCCAAGAGCAGCAACCTCTTCCTGACTTTCTGGAATCAGAAATGACCTTGTCGTTTATGGCCACTCTCCCCTCRGTGCCCCAAGCAGGAGAAACCCTTCTCGTGTGACCACCTATGTAGGGGAATGTGGGCATGAAAGAATGTGTGCACAGGTGTCAGAGGACCGGGAGAGAGCACTCATGCRTAAACGCAGCACCTGTGCCCGCTTCACACAGTGAGAGAGACCCCTGGTGTCGGGCATCCAAAACGCCTAACCAGGCCCCGAGGGGTTGGCAACCTGCCCACGTCTGCTCCCAGCTTTCACCTCCAACTCTGAGGGCTGCTTGCCGGGAAGACCTGCCCCTCTCTGCCTGAGACCTTTCTCCTGCCCCAGGGGCACACTCAGCCATRAGGACGAGCTGGAGAATTCACATTCCCGCAAGCAAGCACACTGTTATGATTTGATGTGAGGTGTCCTCCTAAAAGCTCCTCTTCATGCAGGAATACACAGAGGTCAAATGACCAGAATGTGATGGCTGTGACCCCATCAGGCCTTCCAGGTTTTGGGTGGGCTGGGGGGTAACTCAGGCAGGTAGGGTGAGGCTGGAGAGGCGGGTCCCTGGGGGAGGCTCTGGGAGGATGCATCTTCCCTGCAATCCCTTCCCCACCCCCTCTGCTTCCTGACTGAGCAGAGGGTTCTCCTCCTCCGGGCCCTTCTCCCACGATGTGCTGTCTCACCTTAAGCCCAGAGTAATGGAACTGGTTGTCTGGGGACTGAAACCTCCAAAACCGTGAGCCCCAAACAAACTTTCCATCCTCTAAGCTGTTCTAGTCAGGCATTTTGATCACGGTAATGCAAAAGCTGACTAATGCAATGCCTTGCTGCACAAGGACAGGTAGTGGGTGGACAGATGCCCCTGCTTCCTCATCCACTGGTTGGGAGGTGACCAGGCATGTTCTACCCTGACTCTGGGAGGTCCCAGCAGMAGGGAGCTCCAGTTCCTTACTAAGCACACTCATGGGTTTCCGTCCGTCTCTGCCTGACTCCACCGCTCTCCCATCAAGCTTGCTGACACCATGTCCCAGGTCAACAAGTTGCACCAGGATCCTTATCCACCCAGACCAGGCCACCTCGTGTGGACTGGGAAGCTGCCCAGATCTCAGATCCAGAAACCCGCTCCTCAGGCCAGTCCTTACCACCCCAGCTCCTGCTTACAGGGTCCTTACTTCAGGACTTTCAAACTGGAATTTCTCTTCAGTCCTTCTGCAAGAAAACACACACCTTCATCCAGGAGATGGTTCTCCTCCAGACTGGCAAGAGAAAGAGAGAATCCCATTGACATGATAGCACTTATTATGGAACATGATGTCAGTAATCCACACCCAACATCCGAAAATCTAAACCTACAAATAAGGTAAGGACAGATAAGGTGGGCTGGAGATGTGGCTCAGCGGTAGCGCGCTCGCCTGGTATGCGTGCGACCCGGGTTCGATCCTCAGCACCACATACCAACAAAGATGTTGTGTTCGCCGAGAACTAAAAAATAAAAAAAAAAAAAAAAAAAAAAAAAAAAAAAAAAAAGGACAGATAAGGTAAGATTGAGGATTCTCAATTCCAGGGACATCTTTGCAAGAGAATTCACTTCAGGGCTCTTCTATATAATAAACTCCTTCAGGTCCCGGCTCTCTCATATCCATGGAAACCTCCTTTCATTTTGGGCAGTCATAATCTTACTGGTAAAAAATATTTCCCACTCTCTAAAGAAACCAGGGTTGTTACAAATACATGGTCACTGATACATAGGGGAAGTTGACAGTTGGGCCTTCCAGGAATGCTTTTGAAAGGTGAGAGTCACAGCTGGCCTGTGCTTTTCAGGTTTGTAGACTAAGTCCTGGAATRCAGAAGTAATTGCTGCAGGTGGAGCAACTGTCTTCTGATGATGAGGCAACCAACCTTGAGGATGAAGCCACAGGAAAATAAAGAATATTTAAAAGATAGAGACAGAGTCAAGGCCTCTGCTACTTTTAGTAGCCACCATAACAAAACTGYTTACCTCCAGACTACTTATACATGAAAAAATAAATCCTTTTCTGGTATAAGCCTTATAGATGGATTACTTGCAGCCTAATGCAGTGTTAAGTTAAACTAAATTTGGCCTGACGTTGCCTCCATACTTTGAGTTCCTTTGTAGCTAACTGCAACCTAACTCAGTACACAAACAAACTGCAAACCAAGAGAATATTCCTGTAACAAATAGCTGAATCTCAGCCAATCATAGCAGCTAAGCTTCAGCCAATCACAGGCTGCTAATTCATCACACTGTGTCCAAATAAAACCAATGCCAAGCAGCGACCAATCAGGCTGTTTCTGTATGTCACTTCCTTTCCCTGTCTGTAAATCCTGTGTATCCATGGTTGGATGGAGCCCTTTGAACCTCTCCTGGTTCTAAGTGCTGCCCAGTTCATGAATCAGTCTTTCTTCAAATTAATTCTGCTAAAATGAACTTGTCTGAAGTTCTTTTTTTTTTAACAGTAATCATAACTGATATGCTCACAGGTGCCCCTCCACCAAGAAATGATAAGGGGAAAAACCAATCAGGATTCAATCAGTGGTACTTTGGCAGAACTAGTGAGCCCTGCCAAGAGCCGTGATCCATCCTCAATATCCATTTTCTGGCAAGGTTTATATGGTTCAGTGCTTTTTCTGCTTCCTGGAAAAATTTAACATTAAGCATGTTAGCTCCCTGATATAATTTGGAACTACAAAGATGACCCTGGAACTGAAGACTCTGTTAACAATATCTATAGGATGGAAAACTTGGAGTCTGCTTCAGGTCAACAGCATGAGCACAATTCATGGGTCACCTTTCAACTCCCCCAGATTCCATTCACCTTTCAAGGTGACCCCTAATTCTAACACTCAGTGTTCTTAGGAATTCAGATTCACTTTGGAATAACAAAACTCGGGCTGGGATTGTAGCTCAGTGGTGGAGCGCTTGCGTAGCATGTGTGTGAGGCACTGGGTTCAATTCTCAGCACCACATATAAATAAATAAGTAAAATAAAGGTCCACCAACAGCTAAAATATATATTAAAAAAATATATAACCAAACTTCATCATTAGCAGCTGTCGTAGTATGAGTAGTAGCTGTAGTCATAGCAGCAGCTGCCACCATCGTAGTGGTGACTTCAGTGCTGCGATGGTTTAACATCTGTGGTGTGCTCACCCATATGACAGGCACTATATTAAGCTCTCACAGGCACTACCTAACAGTTTTTATACACATATTTTTACAGTTGGAAACATTCTCACTCTCATCTTACAGGTGAGAAACCTGAGTTTCAGAGACTGTTATTTAACCTGCCTAAGATTACAGCCTCCTTGATGCCAGAGTCTGCACTCTTACCCATTTTGCTGTGGGAGGGCAGTAAACAAATCAGTAAACTAATAAAAAGTATTAAGTGAAAACAAATCAGGAGCTAGACATCAGGCTCTGTGAGCTTCATACCTCTCAGGACATAAAAAGACAAAATCCATCAATCACTCAGTCATCCTCTCTCTGTCTTATCCACACAGCTGCTCTTTGGATGAGGCCAGGCAATCCAGAAAGGCTGTTCTCTTCCTCCCCAGAGCAGAGACAATCCCCCCAACTCACCAGAGTTCTTCTAGGGCCACATTCTTTTCCAACATCAGGGCTAAGGCTCGGGCACCCGCACGGCCAATGTTGTTCCCCACCAGGCTGGACATAGTCATGAAACAGAAAGGCATCAGAGCGGTGAGAGACCTCAGAGACCAGCTAACCTACGAGAGCAACATGGATGGCACATCCACTGACCCAGTGTGCACCGTTTCAGACATCACTAGTGGATCACAGCGCTCCTCAAGCCCGGGAGCAGCCTTGGAGATCCTTTCTCACGAGGGACACTGTACAGCCACGACCAGTGGATTGCAATTGGTCTTTTAAGATACAACATGACTGATTTGGCCTAAGATCTTCAATTTTGCAGGTGGAGAAACAACTTCTCAAGAGGAGAAGAGTCATGTCCAGAGTCACCCAGAAAGCCTCAAGTGCCCCGACTCCAAAACCAATGGTCTTTCTTCCTCCCCAACCACCTAACACCGAGGCATGGAAAGAAGTTCAACCACCTTCAGAACTGGCCTGATCTCCTTCCTCTTCACTTCCCATCTCCCTATGAAGAAATGCGAGGCGGACCTTGCAGCTTACCTGAGCCACTTCAAGCTCTGGTGGTCATCTAAGGCCTCGGCCAGGGCCTGAGCACCGTTGTCACCCACCTTGTTTCCCCAGAGCCTGAGAGGACCAATGGAGCCAACAGATCGTTAGTGGATACCTGCTGTGGGTTCTAGAACTGTCCTCATGTTCGCCTGCCCCCTGGAGCCCCAGCCAGAGGGGCAGGACCACCCAATCCCAGAGAGTTCTCACAGGGACACAAAGTTCTCACTTGGGTCCCAGCAGAGTGGACCTGCTGCCATCTTTTTGGTGGGATGGCCCAACCTCTCTCAGATTTCAGTGGCCTTAAATCACAGACTTAAAATACAGGAGAGGCCCAACCACCCCAGACCTTCARGGACATGGAACCCACCCTCAACAGCAGTTCAGAGTTGCAACATTTTCTCAACATTGAGTTCAGATTTGCTTCCTGGTAGCTGCCACCCATGTCTGTAACTAGCTCCAGGGACCACCCAGGACAAGTCTACCTCTTTTCCCACAAGTCAGCTCCATGTCTCTTGTTCTTCTTAGCACCCCCAGCTCCTTCATGGTGTCCAACCCTCTCCCCTCCTGGGTCATCCTCTCTGACCCACTTAGTTTGTTTTAACTCTGTTGCTACCAATGCAGCCTGAACAGGGTGCTGGTTTCTAGAACAACATGCCTCCAACTGAGCTGGTGGGCAACTTGTCTGCTTGTGAAGTGGTTGGAAGAGCTGAGCCCTAAAGTTTTCCTCCCTTCTTCAGTCTCAGATCCCTGTTCTTGTCAAATGTACAACAGTTCACATGGGACAGCCGAGGGACTGCTGGGGACAGCAGGAGTRACACCCTGGAGGGACAGATGCTCTGCCCAGCAACCAGGGGAAGCCCCACCCTGGAGCCCTGTGGGGTGTGGGCTCCTCTCACACTCAGTGGATGATCCCCCTCCCCTTCCTGGCAGGTGCCAGCTTGGCCCCACTGCCAGGGCGAGTGCTCAAGAGCCGGGGCGGCACACTCCCATCCTTCCCACGTCCCTCCCTCCAGGTCAGGGCCCTCACAGAGACCCACACCCCGGGTATGTTCACTGMATTAGTCTGGGATGGGGCCCTGGTGATGGTGTCATTCCGAAGCACAGAGTGGTTCCAAGATACAGCCAAAGCACAGCCCTAAGCACCCAAGGACCAGAGGGCTTCCTGTGCCAGGGTCAGGGTGCTGCCTCCCTGGCCCTGACATCCTGAATTTCCTGCTTATCAGATGAAGCAGGCACAGAGGCAGCTGAGARCCACCCACTCACTCCCCCTTTTGCCCTTCCCCCAGGGGGCCCAGCCCCCCGCTGGGGCCTGACAACTGGTGGTTTTGACCTGCCCTACATTCTTGGAAGTCCCCAGACTCCTCCACACAGACCTATCTGTCCCAGAGTCCAACCTACCCCAGGAACTGCAGGGAGGCATTGCTTCGGAGCCCCTGGGCCAGCACCTGGGCCCCCGCTGCGGTGATGTGGTTGTTCCCCAGCCTGGAAGGGAAGACAGGAGGCTGAGACACAGCAGAGGGCAGGGGACGAGGCTCCGCAGGGCCAGGGGCAGGGAGGCCTGGCAGGAAAGCCCTGAAGACCGTGCCAGAGTGCAGCAGCTACCTGCTCACTCAGTGGCTCCAACTTCGTCRTCCTCAGCAAAATGAAAGTGGAGGGGGAACTATTTGGTGACGTAGTGTGACAGGTCTGGGCAGGAGCCATAGCAGGCAGCTGTCCTGGGAGGTAGTTTTCCCAAGAGCTGAAGACGACTCTGTCCCACCTTTCCCAATCGTCTCAGTCACCCCGGCACGTCCCTGCTGACATGCAGAAACCACTTTGCTACAGGTACTAGTTACCTCTTCTGCAAGAGCTGGGGCAGGCTCAGGCAGGGGGAAGAGGGAGGAGCCTCTGGGCATGTGCATTGCCAACCCCCAAAGGACAGAGGGGAGTGTTGGGGCAGGAGGACGGTCTGGTCCCAACCAGAAAGAGTCCAGCTGAAGCCAAATTCAGGTATGTCCAAGAGTGTCAGAAAAAACCCCAGAGCTCTCTCCCATCCAGCACTTCCTGGAATAATCAGAATGTAATTTCATCTGTTCAAAGAACTCTAAGTCACTCTGACTCAACAACCTTACAGGGTGGGCACTGTTATTCCCTTTAAGAAGGGGTGCAGCACCATGAGACGGCACCTCCCCGACCTCCAGCCTCAGCTTCCTGCAGGCAGCCAAGGCCCCAGAATCCATGCCCTTCGCCTTGGCACCAAGGCCCAAGGCTTCCCACAAGGGGGGCTCCCTCCCAGTGACCGAGAGACACCAGCCAGCCCCATGGATTTGGCCTGAGGCGCCCTGATGGCCTGGCTGAGCTCTCTCGGAGCTACACTGAAGTACAAGCTTCTTCAGCCTCCCCAGCCCCCTCCCCGTTTCCCCTTGGACACATTTTCCCCAGCAAATCTGATGGCCGTGCAGTTCCTTCCTGGAGACTCACAGAAGACTCGCAAGCTGTGAGCTTACATAACGTGCCCACGATCTTTCAGTGGCTGAGCTCACTACACAAAGCACTCACTGTTCTGCATGAGATCTTCATGTATAATAACTCGCTCGACCACCACAACAACCTCAGAGGGGGCTATAATCATTATCCTCATTTTCTAGAAGGGGAAAATGGAGGCCCAGAGACATCTACCAGGCTGACCCAAGGTCACACAGCTAATGAGGATTCAAATGCCAAGGGTTCCTAGAGTCAAACTGTGGGCAGCTCAGCTCTAGAGCCTCTAGTTTCAAGTACTCTGATGCATTGACCAGAAACCCAGGACTTCAAATGCGGGTACAGCACCCCAGTGTCACCTGCAGCCCTCCCTGGGCAGGTAACCAGGTCAGTCTGGGGGAGCAGGTGGTAATGACAGAATAGAGTCTTTTGTGCAAAATGGCACCTGTGGCCTTGGTCTCAGCAGCTCCGACTGAGACGAGCTACAAAGMCAAGTTTAAAAACAGTAGCTTCCATCCCCAAACCCAGCCCAGCAAGTGAAAATAATAGATCCTTTCCACAAAGCAATGCTTTACTTTGTCTTCCTTTAAAGCCACACAAATGACAGGAGGCAAGAATAACCAAAAGCCAGGGGGGTGGGGGGGATGCAAAATGGCAACTGGGAGGAGAGAGACTCCAGTTGAGGCCCCGAGGTTCTGCAGCAGCAGCCGGGCAGAGCTCCTGGGGAGTACAGACCTTGCCTGCTCCAGCTGGTGACAAGACCTTCCAGGAGCATTTCAGCCAATGGCTGGGGCAGCACTGGGGCAAAGATGGCACATGTCTTCCCCAGCAGGACGCCCTCAGTGTCCATCAGGGAACCTGGTAACCCCAAAGAGCCTGGGACACTCTTAGACACAGAGAAGGACAAGGGCCTAGAAACTCTTCTTTGCCCCTGAGCAGAGCTGGTCCACAGGAGATCAAAGCAGTGCGGGAACCCAGCTCACAATGACACTGCCCTGGGCTCAGTCAGGAAGTCACAAGCCCACTGTGGGCCGGGCCAGGTGGACCCAGACCCCACCAAAAACTACCTTCCAGGGAGCAGGAACACCCAGGGCTTACCTCAATGCCAAAAAGTCCTGCTTGCATGCGAGGAGCGTGGCCAGGGAGTGTGCACAGCYGTCAGTCAATTTGTTGTTGAACAAACTGTGATGTCCCAGGAGAGAGGAGATGTGGAGGTGAGGCCTGTGGCCAGTGAGCCCTCAAACCCGAGGCTGCCCCAATCGGCACCCGCCAGCCATGCAGCACCCCTCCCCCAGCCCCTCACACTCTCGGCTGCCCAGACAGYGTGGCCTGGGATGAGCCTGGGGGACGCAAGGCCCCCCGTCCACAGCCCAGCCCAACTTACGCTAACTTCTGCAGRTGCTCACAGTGAAGAGCGTGCTCAATGAGCCTGCAGAGGCCTCGGTCTGAGATATCGTTATCGCGCAAACTAAAAGAGATGGAATGAATCAATGGAAAAATGGAGCTAACTCAGGAAGAAAATGCACAGCACCCCCAAAAGAGAGTCTTGCTCATATCCCCAAAGGGCCAGCATATGTGCTTCTGGGAACCACCACCAAGACAGAGCACCCCGGAAGCGTGGAGACCCCCCAGCATTCCTGGCCAGGTGGCTGACTACGGTGGGGACGGCCCCGGGGATTCAGAGTCCCTCAAGAAGAGCACTGGAATCCTTGGACAGTGGCAGGTCTAATTCCAGGCCCCATTTCTATTTCTGCAAAAGGACGATGGTCATCACAGCGGCTCGCTGAAGGGTCCCAGTGGAAAGAGGGTGATCTGTACCAGATGGGCCAACCCTGGGGGCASCGATGGTCACCACCTTCTAGTTAGCAGACTGTGGACAGTTGGRTGAGACTGGCCCCAACTAGTGCATAACAGGTTGTAGATGGTGAAGCCTCTCTGGGCTGTCCTTGACCCAAGGACACTACTCCTGAAGGGCACATCCTGCCTAGCAAGCCCCCTCTAGCTCATCTGACCATGAGCTCATCTGACAGCTTCCCTAAAATACAGATTCTTGGGCATCGATCCTGAACTGGTGCTTCCATACACATGGGGGTGGGGCCCAGAGGTCCACGTATTTTAACATCTGTGCAATGATTTTTTAATCCTCAGACAATGGCCCTGACTCAATGGTTATCAGCTCAGGCACTAGAGTCCCTCATCTGGACATTCTGATCCTGACCAGGCTCTTACTAGCKATTTTCTGTTTCTTTCATCTACAAGAAGGGAACGATCATATTATCACCCTCTCCAGGCTGTACACACACAGCCCTGTGAGCCCCTGGCACATGGTACGAGTCACCTGTCATCAGGAGCACTAGCACGTATGGAACATTCTGTGTGCCTGTCCTGCCATTTCCCAACAGTRACCTTATCCTCACCCCAAGCCCTTGGAGCAGGCACTAYTAYGATGCTCATTAGAAAGAAAYTGAGGCACAGACACGTGAAGYGACTTTGCTAAAGCTGCACAGCACCTACAGGGTTGAGCTTAAGTGGTCTGCTCCAAATCCCACCCCTAACCACCACACCGTGGGCCCCCCTTGTGGCCTCGGATGGCTGCCCGTTCTAGAGAAGTGGTTTTCAGGCTGCAGGTCGTGTGACCCATYAGTGTGTCACAGAACCAATTTTGAAGGTCCTGAGCAGCATTTTTAAAACTGAGATAGGACAGAAGAAGAGAGCAGAGCGTCTCAGAGCTCACGAGGCAAAGTCATCTCATGAAGCTTCTCATTTAGAAGTTCTGAATGCGGGTGCGTCTACTTACGGCTTCCTCTCACTGTGGGGTCACCGTCAAAAACTTTGAAACCCATCACCCTACAGTCAGAGGGAGTCAGGGTGTAAAGAACCCTGCATCGGGTGCTTCACATCCAGGGCTTCCTAGAGGCTGAGGGCTGCAGTTGGCATGGAAACTCCTCCAGTGGAGAGATGCAACCTGGCGCTGTGGGAGAGGAGCTTGGCCTCTCGCCCCCACGCATCTCTCTCTCTCTCTCTCTCTCTCTCTCTCACACACACACACACACACACACACACACACACACAATTATGCCCAAGAAGCAACCTTCTAGTTGTGCGTAGGATAAAGAACAATGGATCTTGGTCTTGGTGGAGGGCCTGAACCACTGGTTCACTTCCTGTTTCCATGATGAAATCTCTCCCAGAACTAATACATAAAGAGAAAGGAATTATCTGGATACACAGCTAGGAGTTCCAGTTCATGGTCCRTTGGCCTGGGTTGCTGTGGGGACGATGGCAAGGCAGCAACTCATGGCAGAAAACATTCTTAACATCACAAGCCAAAGAGCAAAGAGAAAGAGACCGAGGCTGGGTCCCACAGTCCGTCTGCCTCAAGGGCACGCCTATAGAAATCTGCAGACTTCCTACAAGGCCCACTTCTGAAAGGTCCCGCCATCTCCCAGTAGTGCTACTCTGGGGACAAAGCTTTTCACACGTGGACCTTTGGGGAATGCTTATCCAAATGGTGGCGACTGCTAATGGAGACATCAAGCTGGTTCCTCCAGACCAGGGGTTCTCAGTGTGAGACCAGCTGTAACAGAATCACCAGCAGTGTGTGGGACAGCTGTAGGTACCGAGGCCACCCACTGAATGGGAGTTACGGGGGGACAGGCCCGGAAATCTGCACTGCATCAGTTAACTCTGCACACTGTAGTCTGAGCACCATGCATTGGAAACAGCCTGCCTGACCTTTCTCTGAAAATAGAGACAGACCCACAGCTTCCCTAAAGCCCTTTTATTTATTTATTTTTTGATACTGAGGATTGAACTCAGGGACACTTGACCCCTGAGTCCCATCTCCAGCCCTATTTTGTGTTTTATTTAGAGACAGGGTCTCACTGAGTTCCTTAGTGCCTCGCTAAGTTGCTGAGGTTGGCTTTGAACTCACGATCCTCGTATCTCAGCCTCCCAAGCCTCTGGGATTACAGGCGTGCGCCACCGCGCCCAGCTCCCTACAGCCCTCTGCACACCACATGGGAACACTCCTGATCGGTCAGAGAGGACCCACTGAAGAATTCCAGGGACGGATTGGTCTATGAGGATCAAGAACCCCTGGGAGAACCAGCTTAGCAGACAGACGGGCCTCCCGACTCCCCAGCCAGAAGACCACACCTCTTCCCTCCAGAGGAAGTGCAATATGGGGCCGTTACTTGGCCAGATGCTCTGCCTCCCTTCTGTGCCGGGCTCTTGGTCCTGGGAGGCTGACRTCTGTGGCCATCAGCAGCAGGAGCAGATCTGCCTCCTCCGTGGTTCAGCAGAGGAAGGCACTGACCAGAGGCATTGACCAGGGCCAAGCCTGACTCTCCTGGAGCCCAGGCGGCTCAGGATGCCCTGGCCACTCCTTCCTCTCAGCTGATAAGTCCGCCCTCCCTGAGCCTCAGGTCCTTCCCCACCACCACTAGCCCCAGGGCCTGCTCCATTCCCCTTGGCTCTTGGTGACCCCTGCAGACAGTCCCTTTATTAGACTCTTCTCGGCTTACCCCAGTTTAAGTGTGGGATCTGTTTCCTCCAAGACCACAACAGGTACAGCCATACTTACATTCTATGTTACGTTATTAACTTATGACCACAGTCCCTATCTAGGGGCTAATGAAAGCCAATGCACAAGTTCAAGTAGATTCCATGTGTTTGTTTCATGGAGAAAAAAAAGGCTTGCTGATTTGCCTCAGAGAGGACACATCACCTTCATACGTTCAAGGAGGGTCTCTCACCCTTTGCTTGGGGTCAATAAAGGTCACTGAAAGTAGCCCCAAAGCCCCTGAAGATTGTGAACAGATTTTAACTTCTGTCTACAACTTTTTGCTTCTTCATGGGTTCTACCGAATTGCAGTGTTCCCTCCCCTGGGTAATGCTGAAATCCCACCTGCACACTGCACTACCTGATAGGAAAAAAGTGGGCCACTTGGGGCACAGTGGCACACACTTATATTCCCAAAAACTTGGGAGGCTGAGGCAGAAGGATCACCAGTCAGAAGCCAGCCTGGGCAACCTAAGCGAGACACTGTCTCAAAATAAAAATCAAAAGGACTAGGGAAATTGGTATGCCTATTATCCCAGCAGCTTGGGAGGCTGAGGCAGGAGGATCGCAATTTCAAAGCCCGCCTCAGCAACAGTGAGGCGCTCAGCAACTCAGTGAGACCCTGTCTCTAAATAAAATACAAAAAGGGCTGGGGATGTGGCTCATTGGTCGAGTGACCCTGACTTCAATAACACCCCCACCCCCCAAAAAAAACTCTGCACATGACCTTGAGGTTTTCCTAGAGCCTTAGAAGTGCATCCACAGAGATGAGATGGAGAGCAGAAAACTGATAGTCAGAAAAATGTGAAACCCAGTCTGCAATTTCCTGTGTGACTGTCTCTCTCTCTTTTTTAAATATGTTTTTTTCAGTTGTAGGGGGACATGATACCCTTTTTTAAATTTTATTTTAAATATGTGGTGAACCCCGGGCCTCACACTTGGGAGACAAGTGTTCTACTGCTGAGCCCCAGCCCCAGCCTGTGACTGTCTCTATTTGTTGGTWTGTTTTCATGGCACTGGGGATTGAACTCGGGGAGTGACAAATGCTAGCCGCTGTGTGACTCACTTCACATGTCTGAGCCTCAAATCAAGGACAAGGGGGATAATAACGGCCCTRCCGCCAGCGCAGAGTGGCTGTGGATATTAAATGAAATCATACTGGAAAGCGCAGCAAGCACCGTACCTAGCAGACGGGACATTGACTAAGGCGTGGCTGTCACATATTGACACTAAAGCCCAGAATGGGGAAGGGTCTGGCCTGTGTCGTACCAGGGGGTGCTCCTGGACATCTGGATCCCAACGGGCACTCCCACACTTAACTTTGCGGTCCTGTCTCCCCCGCCCGCCACGCCCGACCAGCAATGCCAGCAGCACTCACTAAAGAGCCTTGCAGATACCCAGGCAAGGCAGCAGCTGCTCCACGCCAATGTCACCCACAGAGTTATGGTCCAGCTGCAGGGCCACGGGCCGCTGGAGGTGCCGCAGCACAAAGGCCAGGGCGGCACACTCGGCGGGGCCCACCCTGCAAAACGTCAGCTTGAGGTGCCCGACATCCAGCCCGCGCACCGCCTCCCGCGCCAGCCGCTCCTCCTGCATCTCATACAGGCTCCGGATGAGCCAGATGAACCCGGGCATGGCGTGCATGCTCTTGGCCTCACCCGGCACAGCTGGCGGGATGGACTGGAAGTGCTTWCGGAGGCTGCGGGATAGACAGCGGCGAGTACAGGCTCGTCGGCGCCGGAGCAGGGCCTTTTTGGACACCTGGCACGGAGCCAGCAGGTCCCGGTGCTCCTGGGACAAGAGCCCTGCCAGGAAAGCTGCTGTGATCTGAAGGTTGTGCGGCTCGGCCTCCTGCAGCAAAGCCACCACGCTGCCCTCCTCACACCCGGAGCCCTGGACGCACAGTGTGGGCAGCAGGCGGGCCAGTGGAGAGCTGCCCGGCCTGTGGCAGTTGAAGAGGCGTCTGAACGAGGCTACGGACACGTCAGGGCTCAGCGCCAGGTAGATGGCGGCAAAAAAGCACTGGAAAGTAATGTGCAGGAATTCCAGGGCTGGCRCGCTCCCTGGCACCCCCCGCTGGGCACACACCAGGAAGCCAAGAGAAATGTCATCAGGRTCCACCTGGGCTGCCTGCAGCTGCTGGGCAGAGAACACGTAGCAGCACAGGCCCAGGCCCCAGAGAGCCAGTCGACCAAGGTGCAGGAGGGTGGAGAGCCTGCCTCGGAAGAGGCCGGGTCCCCGGACGTGGGAGGCCATGTCTGGMGGGGAAGCCCGCAGCAGGAAATGCTGCAGGATCAGAAGGTACATATCTGTGGTGGTCTTTGGGGACCCCCCTTCCTGCAGCAGCAGTTCCTGGTGGCATCTGGACACCATCCATGAGAAAACAGGAAGATGGCATAAGCCGTAGAGGGCTGAGGTCGCTTGGAGCAGGTGGAGGAGGCGGTCCGCCATCCCCGGCTCAGGATGGCACCTCCTCAGGTAAAGCTCGATGGCCTCCTTTGAGAAGCCCCTCAGGTGGCACTCGGTGCACGCGTACTTCCTGAGGAGGGCCGACACGGCGTCTGGGCGGCTGGTCAGCACCTTGCGTGCGTTCTTGAGCAGGTTGCCCTGCAGGAGGTTGAAGAGCAGAGTGGGGACTGACGTGGGGTCCGACGGGGAGCAGTGGCGCTCGCCATCGGTGAACCTGAACCTGAACTCATCGAAGCCGTCAAAGGTTAGCAGGACGCGGTCGGGGTGGTCGAGGAGGAACTGAAAGACGTCCTGCTGGCCCGCATCGGGCCAACAGCAGTGCTCAAAGATCAGCGTCCTCAAGGACAGCGGTTTGGTCACGCACTGCAGCTGCCGGCAGCTGAACGGGAAGACGAACAGAAAGTCCTGGAAGTGCTGCCCAGTCGCCCAGAGCAAGTGCAGCCGCTGCAGGAGTGTGCTCTTGCCGCTGCCCGCCTCGCCCACCACCAGCACGGTGTCCGCGTCTTTGTTGAGGTGTCCCTGGGCTCTGAAGAGCTCCTCCAGCCCCAGGGTGGCGGGGCTCTTGTGCAGGGCCCCGGCCGTGCCCACCTCCGTGCGCAGCTCCAGGGTGTTCTCTGTGTACACGTCGTCCAGGCACAGATTCTCCGCGCCGTCGTAAGTGCTGAGGCAGCGGGACTGCGCGGACACCGTGCTCCTCAGCTTGGAGACGTACTTCCGGCAATCTGCAGCTGGAAGACAGCAGAAGAGTGGATGAGGACGAGACTGTGGTCAAGGTGGGACCCGGCCGGAGTGGGCTGCACGGAGGAACGTGCTGATAGGAGAGAGGGGCCAGTGGGCGCCCATTAGCTGGGGACTTTGAAGACAGCCACAGAACCTTCCTAAACCTCAGTTGCCTCCCCTGTGAAGTGGGGAGACTGGCGGTCACCACCTTATGGAACTTTACCACGCATCAACTGAGATAATGTATGTCCGGTGCCAAGAACAATGTCCCTCACAAAGTAAATGCTCCAAAGACATCAGCCAGTGCCCTGACTACTACTGACTCCAGACTGACTGCGGGGAGTGGGCTCCAGTCATGAGACCTGTGTTCTGATGCTGTTCCCACCATGTTGGCCGGGTGGCTTCACACAAGTCCCCTCACCACTCATCTTCAGTCACCTCTTCCTGCAGGGAAGCAGGATCTAAGGGCTTAGGATTCTGCAGTCAGACACACCTGGGTTTAAATCCTGGGTCCAGGGGCTGGGGTTCTGGCTCAGGGGTAGAGCGCTTGCCTAGCACGTGTGAGGCACTGGGTTTCATCCTCAGCATCACATAAAAATAAATAAACAAGCAAATAAGATGAAGGTATCRTGTCCATCTATACCTAAGAATATAAAAAATTAAAAACCTGCATCCACCATTCATTTGGGGACACCACCTAACCTGTCCAGGCCTTGGTTTTCTGATCTATAGAAATGGGAACATCCACATCTTGAAGAACTGTTTCAGGGGCAGTGAGATGAGTGGGGTTTAGAAGGATATCTGGCACTTGGTAAACAATCCAAAAGTGGTATTCACTGTTCTCATTACTGGTACAGGCACTGCAGTGCCCCCCGGGCAAAGATGTCCACATCCTGATTCCTGGAGCCTGTGACTATGTTCCCTTACATGGTAAAAGGGATTAGGTGGCTGTGGTAAGAGGAACCTGCAAAAATCTGAGTGGTCCCAGGCACTGGAGGGCCTCAAGGTCACCGTGGTTCCCAGGCCAAGCACTCAGACAAGACCCTCTGATTCTGCCAGCACGTCCCCATCCTCTTCTTGTCCCCTCTGCAGGGAGAGTTCGCATGCCCAGGGTGCATCCAGAGGGCTGATGCTTTCCTTTATCATCCTGGTTCCAGTGTGTGCAAACCACTTCCTGTGTGAGGGGTCAGTTCCTCTTTTGGGAAATAGAGAAGTGCCGGTCCCAAGAGCTAGGCTGGTAGGACATCAGCACAGCTTACATCATCAGAGCCGCACTGCCCCCAACCAAACACTGGCCCGCTTGTTCTCAACCTAGGAGCCAACAGGTACTTTTTGCAGAGAGCTCTCAGCTCAATGAATTTTGCAGTTGCTCTGTRTCTATGTTTTTTTATGTTTTGGTCATTTTTAAGATGGAGTCTTGCTGTGCTGCCTAGACTGGACTCCAACTCTTGGGCTAAGTGGTCCTCCTGTGGCTGGGACTACAGACACGTGTCACCTCTTTTGCTCCCAGAGCTATGCTTACTGTTGCTCTTTCTGCCCTTTGGCTATATCAGGAGCACTAAGCAGACACCAGAAGCTATAGACCTTTCTTTCCAATACCCTGACTTCCATCGCAGATTCACAGCCATGGTTAACGACACCAAATTCCTCAAAAAAAAAAAAATTCTCATTTTAAAGATATCAATGGACATATCACTTGTCACCTTCAGCAGCACCTGCCCMCATGGCACGGTGTCCCCACTGCCTGCCTCGCCAGCTATGCTTGATGATATCAATAATCGTTAACCAAGGGCCAGCTGGGTTCTGTGCATTGATGTCTCTATCCTGCCCTTGAAGGAGATGACACACAGCCACATGCCAAGCACAGGCCTGCAGCCATCCCGCCCTCAGGCCCGCTCGCTGCTGAGAGGCCAGGACTCAGGGTGAGAAACCCATCTGTCAGCACCAGGCACACAGCTCAAGGGCCTTCGGTGCTGATGAGCTTTCCCTCTCGAGGCTGCTGGAACAAGACTCAGGGAGCGCCCGGCTTGCATCTTCTCTTTACAATGGAAGATTTCTTCTCCCCTCAAGACCGTGCAGGTGAGGACAGTTTGCAGTCACACCCGTCTCCACTGCTTCGTCACTTAACCTGCCTGCCCAGTTTCCACATCTGTAAAGTGGAGGAAACACCTAATTCCCAGGGTTATTGCAAAGGGCATTTATTGTCCGGTGTGTTGTAGCTGTGTGCACAGGCCTCTCCCATCCCCGGGTGGGGTTGGTGAGCATGGGCACTGAGGGGTGCCACGTTCCCTAAATCCACTTGGTCCCTGAGGTTCTGATCATGAGTAGCTACATTTCAGAGATCAAGAGATACCCAGCCCACCTCTAAAAGTGAATCTGGATCTTCTTAGCACAGATGACAAGAGTTGGCACGGTAAGGGGCTCTTGTGGTTAGCCCTTGCTTCATGGCAGCTCCAGCAATCACGATGCCGCACAGGACGTGACCAAAGCTAAGGGACAAGGTCAATAATTTCATCCTTTCATTCCCTCCCTGTAAGCCTGATGAGTCCGGGAGCCATGTTAGCTTTAAAATGAGGGAACTGACTTTCGTGGGAGGCTGATGCAGAGCCAATATGTGGGTGCCAACGGATGCATGCTCTGCTATTARCCATGAATCTGCGCTGACTTCCTTTCCCTTTCTGACAAACTGAGAAGAACAAACACATACCCACTAAAGGCAGGGGCAATGGGACTGGTAATTCCAGAATGTGCCGGAGAAGGAAAGCAGCCAATCCATTTGCCTTCACTGCGGCAAGATCAAGCAGCCTCCTTGCCTGTGGGAGAAGAAGAAGCCATTATTTCTCCAGAAGGGCTGAGGAGGGGTGTGGGAAGGTTTCGACCAAGTACAAGTTGAGCATCTCTAATCTGCAAACCTGAAATAGGAAATGCTCCCAAATCCAAAACTTTCTGAGCATCAACACGACGACGTCACAAGGGGACGATTCCATACTATGAAACTGTTGCATGCACAGAATTATTTGAAATATTGTATAAGATTATCTTCAGGCTATGTGTGTAAGGTGTAGATGAAACATAAATGAATTTCACTTTTAGATTTGGGCCTCATCCCCAAGATGTTTTATTATGTATATGCAAATATTCCAAAATCTGAAAAAAAAAATAGAAAACCAAGACACTTCTGATTCAAGCATTTAAGATAAAAGATACTCTATATGAACTACAACACCATAGGATCTCTCTGCCATCACAACAAAAGACCTGGAAAACAAATAAATTATCACAGGAGTTAAAAGAAGTTGGTACAATATTGGATGGTGAAATGAACACACTCATCCAATTTGGCTCCTTCTCCAAACCCACTCAAGAAGTAAATACCTAAAAAAATAAACAAATGTACAAAGATAAGGAAAATGATTCCAGATGCTGTCGATGACTTGAAAGAAAAGTGATTTCAAGTCTCATGGCTTCCATGCTTGAACATGATCTCTGTTCTTGATCCCCAGCCTGAACTGGTCCCTGAAYCTGGGCCTGGCTCATCAATTGCCCATTTGCCATCTCCACTCATATACACCCACACATGTGCCAAGCCTAGAGCCATCCTCATATCAGCTGAAGTCAACGCCATCTTCCAGGTGCTTAGCCCCAGAGGTTTGAAGTCACCCTTGAAGCTTCAATCCACCAGAAATCCTTTGGGCACCATTAAGTATACCTAGAACACTGCCCAATGGAACTAGAAATCAACTACAAATGTGAGCCACGCGYGAGATTTAAAATCTTCCAACAGCCACCTTCTTTAATGTTTAAAAGATGAAATTGATTTTAACTATATATTCCATTTAACCCAAGATATGCAAGGGATTACCATTTCAACACATAGTCAATATTATTTAAAAAAATGAGTGTGATAATGCAGCATTCTTTGCTCCATATTGTCTCTAAAATCTGGTGTGTCTTATGCACTCAGAGAATATCCGTGTGGACCACGTGTTCTGAGCACTCAGTGCCCACACATGGCCTCGTCGACAGCTGCAGAGCCCCGCCATTCCCCCGTACCCCCTCTAGAACACCCTGCTCACCTAGAAAACCTCAGAGCCTGCCAAATGGGCCTCCCTTCTGTGTCCYTACCTCGTCATCTCCTTTATAAACAAAAGATCCTCACACCTCCTGTTAAACAGCACCATCAAACCCTGAGTCCACAGTAAACTTCACGGCACAAAACAGACAAAGGTCTCTGTCCATAACCGTCTGGCTCCCAGCTGCACCCGACCTCCCTCTTCCTCCTCTTCCCTGCCCACCCGACTCAGCACTGGCCTCCTATTCCCTGGGAATCCCAGCATGTTCCTGCCTCTGGGCCTCTGCTCTGGCTGCATCCCCGGCCTGAAATGCCCTCTCCCCACCTGGGCCATGGCGAATTCCCTCCCCTCCTCCTGTTCTTTGCCCAGATTCCATCTTCCCAGTGGGATCTCTCAACTACTCTATTTAAAMATGAACTCACTTGCTCCCTGCTCTCCCTACCCTCTCCACGTCCAGAACACTCCACCCACTCTCCGTGGCACGAGCACTTTCTAACACACTCTGCAGCTCAATTCCTTCTGCCCCTAGAAGAGTACCGGGCCCACTCCCAGGGCTCAAGAACTGGCTGAATGAAGGAACAGGAGGGGACTCACAAGACTCCGGAAAGCCAAATCCCAAGCCAACGATAGGGAAGTCAGGAAGTGCATAGGTCTAGAATCTGTCAGGGGGCTCTGAGACTCTCATCATCTGGTACCTCTGGAACCAAAGGAAATGACAAAGGCAAGCACTGAGTCAAAGTGGTCTGTGAACTAGGTCTCCAGATGCCCTTGCCCACTCCAAGCCACCAGCAAATATCCCTGCCTGCCGTGGCAAAGTCGGCCTATTGATATTCTGGAAAGGGTAAAGAGAGGATCCCTGGCTGGGTGTGATGGCACACGCCTGTAATCCCAGCGGCTCGGGAGACTGAGGCAGGAGGATCACAAGTTCAAAGCCAGTCTTAGCCATTTAGTGAGGCCCTACGCAATTCAGTAAGATCCTGTCTCCAGATAAAATACAAAAAAGGGCTGAGGATGGGGCTCAGTGGTTAAGAGCCTATGGGTTCAATCCCTGGTACCAAAAAAAAAAAAAAAAAAAAAAGAAGTGGGAGGTGGATCTCTGGATTATGAGACATCAGGCACAATTAAATTAATCATACACCAAACACAGGTTTAATGACCCGGTGCAAAACAAACGCTGAACACTGAAACTTTTCCTACCAGCACCCACGCCTCTCAGCCCCTGGGCTCCCAGGACTCTGGTTATCAGACCTTTACCTCCAGGTGGGTCTAGGCAAGGAATTTGGTCAATCCAGAAGGAAAGTCTAAAGATGCAGATAAACAGATAGATAGATAGATAGATAGATAGATAGATAGATATCTCAATCTGCCATTTCCCAAAATCTCTACAGTGGAATGCATAGCAGACAAATTTCACCTCACTCTCATTGAATTTTAAAGTTCTCTATTTCAATAACAAGAAGGACAACCAAGGACTACCATATATGCCCAAAGAAAATATTTAATATGGGAGGTAAAAGTCAAACCAGTGGGGAAAGGGAAAGCAACTCGTTGGATAGAAAAGTTTATGTGTGATGAAGGAAACAACCTAACCTACCCAAGCAAACAAAACACAACAAAATAACTATCATTGTGATCTTTAAGGAAAAGAAAAGATTGTATTCATAAAACAAGAGCAAGATGCTATAATAAAGGAATAGTCAAAATTGCCCTTGCACATTAAAAGTGTGATAGCAAAAATGAAAAATTTAAGAGTTTACAATAGAGAATATCATATATAAAATAGAGCAAAAAATAGAAATGGAAAATAGAAGAAAATTAAAGAGTTAGTCAAGAAATTCTAACATTCAAGTAATTATAATTGCATAGAGAAGAGAGAAAATAAAGTGGAATAAACTCATCAATTAAATTTCCCAGAACATAAAGATATGAGCTTCTGCATTCAAAGAGCCTGTTGGGTATCCAGCACCCGAGGCACATAAATGTGAAATTTCAGAACGTCGAGAACCAAAAGAAAATCTGAAAAGCTTCCAGAAAGACATATACAATGGTTTTAGGGTTCTTAGCAGCAACATCCGGAAGAGAAGGTAACGGAATAATGTCATCAGAATTCTAAAGGAAAATGATGGCCAACATAGAATTTTATACCCAGTCTAACTGTCAATAAAGTGTGGTTGAAATGACAGACACACATTCTTTCTCATGAATTTACTAGAAGACATATGATCTATCATGATGGAATAAATAATAAAAGAAGAAGACATAGTATTCAGGATACAGGAAACCCAACACAGGAAGGCCAATATCAGGATGATGGCTGGGGGCTACACAGAGGGCCACCTGTTTAGAYGGAATCACCATTGACTCAAATTTAAGGGCCGTCACCTCCGAGATCACAGGTAAGCCTGGTCCTCATCCTTATCTGTCTGTGACTTGTCTTCACCATGAACTAGCATCGTTCCTCTCAACCCTGCTGCCTAAGTCAGCTGAGGACATTCATCTCACCCCACAGGAGTGCTTGTCTTGACCTCTTCCTGGGAGCCAGAATAGCCTTTGGTGAGCTCACAACTGGGTGAAAGAGAAACCCACGTCCCCTGACCATATTCCCACTGGACATGCAGCTCCACTCTCATACCTGTGCTTCCTGATCCTCCAGCCTGACCTTTTCCACCAACCTCCCAGAGTCCCCTATAAACTCCCAGGGAAGGCAGGGCCAGTCCACATCCACAAGACCCTGTTAGGCTTCCCTGACCTGGGAACACTGATCTAAGAAGGGGCAATTTGGCCCTTTCCTTACACAACAATGTGTGGCTTGCTACTCAGTTTTTCAAAAGAAAAAAAAAATCCAGCATTTAAGGGTTTAGTTTAAAAGGTGCTAAAACCATAAAGCAAAGGAATGATTAACACCAAAGTTAGGCCAGACGTTGCCTCTGGTTGTTGCAACTGAAGAAGGGTCTGGGTGCTGATAGCGTTCTATTTCTTAATCGGGGTGATGCAACATATTTATCCTGTACGTATGAAATTTATCCACTATTTTGTAGGCATGGTATGTTTCCCAATCTAAAAATGTTTAAGTTAATATTGTGACAGGAGCAAGCAATTCAGAGCTCACTCTGACACCCCAGTCCCATTAACTTTAGCAGTTGCATGAGTCACACGGACAGTTGATATCACAGCTGGTGTTACCAGTCTCAGGTTTCCTAACAACTGTTATTCCCAACTGAGCAAAACCACAGGAAGCCCTCACATTTTATGACAGAGAAAGAACACAAGAGCTGGGTGCAGTGGTGCACGTCTATGATCCCAGCAGCGAGGGACACTGAGGCGGGAGGACTGCAAGTTCAAAGCCAGCCTCAGCAAAAGTGAGGTGCTAAGCAACTCAGTGAGACCCTGTCTCTCTATAAAATACAAAATAGGGCTGGGGATGGGGCTCAGTGGTTGAGTGCCCCTGATACTCCCCTCACTCCCCGAGGAAAAAAAAAGAAAAGAAAGAAACAACTTAAACTTTGGAGAAAAACAGACTTGGATTCAAATTCTAGCTGGCCCCTTCCCAGATGAGCAATTTGGATGGTTTCCACACTGTCAAGGAAGACTGTAGTCACACCACACCATTGGGAGGACATAGTGAGGCTTAAATGATGTAGTAGAGGGAAAAGGCTGAGTACAGCGTGGGCCACATAGTAGGTCCTTTTAAACACATATTTGATGTTTAAGGGAGCCTAGGTAAGGCTAGGTTGAGGATAAGGAAATACACTACTCCGTCTTCAAGCTGGCTGATTATTTATAGTGCAGATACATTGAGGCAGCAACAGTAGCAATGGTTACTTTATGGATTTAGTTCCTTAGCTTGCATTTTGTTTCATTCCACAGTCCTTTCCAGCCCCCAACCTGATATCATTGTCAATGGTCAGTGGTAGCACCTCTATGTAGGAAATTGCAAGGTTCCCCGTGGGGGTCACGTTAATAGGACATACCACAGTTACCACCCACACTGAATCCGAAATTCGGCCTTGTGGGGGGCGCGCACCAAACACCAAAGCACAACTTGAAGGAAACTCAGAGAAAGGTGGATTCTAAACACCTAGAGCTCGCTGGGCCGCCCTTGGCCCCTCCCACAGTCCTCAGCTCTGCTCCCCACTGTCCCTTCCACAGCTCAGCTCAGTCCCCACTTTCCATGTGGCTTCTGCGGTCCACTTAGTTCTTTCTCAGGAGGGATTCTTAGTTCATGAAATCCAGCCCGTCTTCATGCCCAACCTAAGTAAGGTCCTTAGTTTCCCTCTATATTCTGCTTTAGCTGCATCTCATAGACTTTGATAATAATATTCTCATTTGGGGGGCAGTGCCAGGGATGGAACTCAGGGTGCCCAACCACTGAGCCACACCTCCAGCCCTATTTTGTATTTTATTTAGAGATAGGGTCTTGCTGGGTTGCTTAGCACCTCACTTTTTTTTTTTTTTTTTTTTTGGCTGAGACTGGCTTTGAACTCACAATCCTCCTGCTTCAGTCTCCCAAGCTGCTGGAATTACAGGCCACCTCACCCAGCTCTCATTATTATTTTGATCTTAATTACTTTCTGATTTCCAGTATGATTTCTTCTTTGATCCATAAGCTATACCATTTTTTTTTTCTTTACCAATCCAAATCCTTCCTCTGTCTGGGCCCTAGGCATCTCAGCTAGCTTCTCCAAATCCCTCAGAGCATCCAGACCAGACCACACTGCTGATCACTTGATCAGAGACAACCAGACATTAACTTGTAACTTCCTGGGTGGGCCACTTCTATCCCTCCAATAAAACACAAGAGACTTGAACAGGTAGGCTCTCGGGGTGTGATCGTAGGTCTTATCTGCACCAGTTAGACAGGACCACAATGTGTCTGCACTGTGAATAATTAGCCAACTTGAATCAACTTGAAAACAGAGTAGTTTATTTCATCATCCTCCACCTAGCCTTGCCTAGGTCCACACATCAAATATGTGTTTAAAAACAGGCAAAAATAAAAACTACAAATTTCCCCAATTCAGACCATTCTAAAACTCCAACTGAACTCCACTCCATTCATTCACTCAGCAATCCATTCATTTCAGCAGCAAGTGTTTACAGAGCACTTACCATACATAGTACCATGGACTCTGAGTACCAACTTCAGGTAAGAGCCTGGAATGTGATAAGCTCTGAATAGTGTCTGGCTGAATAAATGAGTGAATGAATTAGTGATGAATGAACAGTCAAGGCTGTGGTCCAACAGTAGCTCTCTGCTCAACCACCATCATCCAAACCACTTTCCTGGGCCTTAATTCCCTATTCTGTCAAGTGGAATGTGAATGCCTCTTTTCCATCTGGAGGCCTGACGATCGCTGTTTGAGGAAAATAAAACAGCATTTCAAAAAAATACCCACAGACGCTTTTCTGTCCTTGCGGGGTCTCCGTTGAATCATCGTATTTTCAGGGACAGCTACATCCCGGCTCCAAACGCCTGTGATCTAACATGATTTCCCATTAGAAATCCTACGAGGACACATTAGTGCGTTGCGTGCTATTTCAATTATTGATACAGACTTAATATAGTGAAGCGTTATGCTCTGTTGAGCTGTTCATTTAAAAGACGGCGATAAGCATGTGCAAGGACAGAATGTGGCTTGAAATAACAGCAGTCAGGGGTGACGTGGATGCGTGCTTCCTATGTGCCATATTAAATTCTCCCCAAAATCACGTAAGATAAGTATGGAACTATTTAGAGTGCTGTTCAGATGAGGAAACTGAGACAGGAGAGACTAAGGATGCACAGGTTCCACACAGAAGTCGGAAGCACCCTGAGCTGACCTTAACCCTGCATCATTCCGGCACCAGAACCAGAGCCCGGCGACACCTCCTGCCCTCACCAGCAGTGGTTCACTGCCAATAGCCAAGGGCAGCTCCTCCCCTCCTGGCCCCGTTACCCCACGGGCTGCCCTCCCAGGCACAGTCTGATGACTAAGAGCCTTTCCTGTGAACGCCGACCCCAGGCCGTGCCTCACCCTCTGGGAGGACGTGAAAATGGGCAGTCTGATGTCATCACACTCGTACTGGCTGATGAAGCCGCGCTCCCGCACCAGGTCCAGCACAGCCTCCACGTGGCTGTACAGTCTCCTGACGATGGCYGGCCGGTGACTCTGCAGGTCTCGGGCTGGGTGGAGTGAGTAGGGGTCCCAGCCGCCACGTGGCTCAGGGGACTGACCGCCGGCCTGGGCTTCCTGGAGAGCTGCGACCAGCTTCTCACAGCCCCAAGCGCCCTTGTTCCCGACAGTGTCCAGCAGGCGCCTGGCCAAGCGGGAAAGAGGCTGGCCTGGGAGGCTGAGGCTCTCGTAGTCCTCCCAGGAGAGGACTTCCCAGGACAGCAGCCAGTCCAAGATGCTCTCGAAGCCCTCCAGGGACCTGGAGACCAGCAGCCCCACCAGGTGACTCCTCTGTGCCTGGAGAGCCTCCTGGGAGCACATCTCACGACCTAGGGAGAGAACGGATGGAGAGCAGAGCTCAGGAGGCTTCCCCAGGAGCCAGGGAGGGGCGGGCCAGCCCACCCCAGGACCTGGTCAGCCGTGGCGCCCCCCAGCATTACGCACCCCTAGCTCTCCACGGTACAGACCGCAAACCAGGCCCGAGCTCCCGGTCCCACGGTAAGATTGAAGCAGCCAAGAACTAAATCAAGAATCCCTGGCTCCCATCTCCTGCTCCATCCCCAGCTTCAGAGGTTCAAAAGGGCTGGAGCTAAGATGAGGAGCAGTGTCTCCCGGGGGATCAGGGAATTGGCTCTCTTTGAGGCAGGAAGAGAGGACCTCTCCACCAAGCTCGGATTCCCCCCAAGCAGCTTCGATAATGCGTGAGCACCATCCTAAATGCTTTGCTGCGTGAATCCACTTGCCTGCCTGCCACTCTGAAATCGGTGCCGTGCTCAGCCCCCTTTTACAGAGGAAGAAACTGAGGCACACAGGGTTGCACAAACCGTGCACGAGGCAGAGCTGGGACCTGAAGGCACGCAGCGCGACTTCAGGAGGCATCCCCTTAACCCCTGTACTGGATTTCCCCACAGGGCCTCGCGCCCACCCCTGTGTGGGTGACCCACAGCCACCCAACTGGGGGACATGGCTGCTGAGATACCAGGCAAGGTGAGGTGGAAAACCGTGGTGCAGACTAAGTTGTTTCAGAGCCTGCTAGAGCGTCTGCACGCACGCACGCGAGCACACACACACACACACACACCCCCGCCCCGCGGCCCTCACTTCCTCCACACACACCACCACACATCACAGGCTGGCACTGTCACCGTGGCCGTCATCAATGGCTTACTCTGGGCTCAGCCCCCAGACTCTGGGAATTTGAGGGGAAGTGACCTCCAGAAGCGTCAAGCCCTAGCAGGATCCCTGAGTGGCAGAGAAAATCTCTCAGCATGGTCAGTTCTGTGACTGTCACAGGGTCAGGGACAAGGGCTGGTGCAGCGCCCAGGGAAAACAAAAGTGAAAGGAAGAAAGGCACGGAAGAGGACAGCAGAGGGACACGGGCAGCAGGTGGCCTGGGGGCTTCGCCTCTGTCCTGCTGGGCCCATGGCCCCCATGCCTGGCCCCCATCCCTAAGCTTGGCCCGTGCTTGGCCCAGCAGAGGACCCTGGGAAGGGTCATCAATCAAACCTCCAAGTAGGGAGGGGGGGACGGGAGCATCCTGCACCTTCTCATAAGACAACGACATGCAGACTGGCCTCATGCTGACCAGGCAGGGACACTAGGCAGCAAGGGCACCTGGACCTGTGTGTCCGGCAGCTTGGGGGAGACGGTGTCCCTATGCACAGGCCACTGTAAACCAGGAATTAAGACAGCTCTCCTTGGTCAAGACGGTGTCCTCACTAGCCACCAACAACCAGGGACAAGGGAGGGGAGGACAGCAAGGGGCGGTGGAGTTCTGGGTGGGACCTGGGGTAGTCTCAGCAGCAGAGACACTAGCCCCCAACCCCTGTCCAGGTCCTAGGAAGTAACTGCCCCCACTCTCCCTCCCTGAGAATAGCCCAGAAGAGGGGTCAGCACCCTCCTCGGCCCTCAGCCTGGCAAGCAGGGTGCAGCCAGGAGAAGAGGAAGGTGAAGACTAGGCCGAGCCCAGGCAGTGCCCACTCCTCTTACCTAGGGGATGCCCAGGGAGGGACATCCGCTACCACCTTCTCATCTGGACAGTCCAGCCCAGCCTCTCAGCGAAGCCCACCAGGAGGAGCAGGGGGAGCAGGCAGGCCAGGCCATCTGTGGGTGAGCCTTGAGCAGAGCGGGGCACTGGACGGGCAGTCCTGGGTCGCCCACAGACCCCACCTTCAGGGGAAATCCCGAAAGGATGGGCCGGAAGCCAGAGCCAGCTACAGAGCACCATGATCTTGGCACAAAGCCTGATGCGTCCAGGGTGGCCCTCACTGAAAGGCAGGACAGGGCCCGCTGGAGACACGAGACACACCCAGCAGACGTGCCCACCCCCAGGGACAGGAGCTGCAAGGAGCAGGCCCTTCCCAAACATGCCAAGGCCGGGGCTGCCTGGCTAGTGACATAAGGGACTCAGAGGGAGAGGCTGGCCCAAGCCATGAGGCCTGGTGATTTGTCCTCCTGCCAGCCGTGGGAAAATCCCATCTGTGCCAATCTGGTGGAAACCTCAGAGCCAGGAGAATCCCCAGGGACCCATGCAGCCAGCCCCGCCTCTCAGCAGGCGTGGCTCTAGCTCTTCTTAAACACCTGGCAAAGAAGACTGACCTTGGTGCTGTCCTCACTAGCCAGCTCAGGAAGTTCATAAACTCAGGAAGTTCTTCGTTATATCTAGCTTAAGTTACTCCTGCTTCCATTTAAATTGGAAGGGAGGGAAATAGGTAGATGTTCACTCATCACTTATTCCATAAAAACTGTGCCTGAAATCCTACTTGCACCTTTATCACCTGGGCAGACTCCCCCTCTTTAGATCAATACTTCAGTCGGCCTCTATTGCCTTTTCTTCTCTAGTTATTAGAGGTTAGGAGTCACTACTTGGGGAGGCTGAAACAAAGAAAGGCACCACTTTGTGAAACAGAGGGTCAAGGTGACCCACGTGGCACCTCCCTTACCCCAAGCTCAGGCCTGCACCCGGACACTCCTTCCTCCCTGACATCACAGCCTGCCTGGCTTCTCTGCAGTCACAACAGGTGCTCGGTGGGTTAAGATCTTAGCCTCCACCCCCTGCAGACAGAAGGAGAGGGAGGCCCAAGGAGGCCCAGCTAGGGCTGCCTGGGTCCCAGCTGGGGCCAAGCCTCCCCTGGGCCATCAGATCCAATCCCTCCTTCCCCTGGCCACAGGGGTCTTCCTCCCTCCCCTGCTCTTGGCTGCTCTTCCCTCCGAGACCACTCCCACGGGACACAGGGGACTAATTCCTCCTCCCTGGAGGCTGTCCTCGGTCAGCTCCAAGCCCCTTTGCCCCCGTCTATGGCTGAACAGCTGTCCTCAAATCCTCCTGCTCGTCCCCTCCAATAGCCCTTCCAACCCCCCCCCCATGGCCACTTTGGTCGAGGTCACCCGTGACCTCCCATGACACAATCTCATGTGTCTCCTCTGGTCTCCTCTGCCAGAGGCGTCGGTCCCCACGGCTCTCCTCCCCCTTGATGCGCTCCCCCCAAGGCCCTGAGGTCACCAGACTCCGAGTCCTCCCCCGTCCCCACCGGATGCGCTCTC